CCAGGTCCTCCTCTGTGTTCGCGGTTCTGGCTCTTCTCTTCTGCTTGGCTCCGTCCTTGTTCTGTGTCACTCAGACATCTTCCAACCCGGCTGACCTTTCACCCTGAGGTCAGCCTGCACCTACAAACACCAGCTGACTCAAATGTTTCTTCTAAGGGAGATCAGAGGGTGCAGAGGTGAAGTGTGCAGACTCACAAACGCACGTTATCTCCTGCAGGTCAATTCCTCCTCACCTGCTTCTGTCAGACAACTCAATCACTTTATTATAATTAGATTAATCATAACCTTGTTTTTAGAAATTTAGATAACAGTCTTCAGAGAAAAAAACAAGAGCAGGATGACAAGAAAAGGGCAACACAACCGAACTATGACAACATGAAGGAAGGTTCAGTGTAAAGTGACCGGGACAAGGAGGGAAGACAGGATGAAGAAAAATGAAGACAAGAAGGAGATAAAATAAACATACAAAACACAGCTAGAATACTCAAAGCAATCAACCAGGCCTCACATTTGGTCTTTCAAATGGGTTTATATTAACAATCTGTATCTCTTCCAACTTAAAAAAGTATTTTCAAATTTGAATTAATCGAACAATTTCTTTCAACAGGGAGAATAGGACGTATGTGCATACCTCCAGTCTAAGGCATACATCCCAACATTGCCAATGTTTTTGTGCAATTTAGACAGTGTGCCGGAGTTAGCCTGAAATATTTTACTGACTTTTCCTTCTATGGTATATCATTTTTCATAAAAAGCCTCCGTACTTTTGGAAAGTGGCGATCATTAAAATAGCAAAGTTTGTATCATTTTAAAATGTGTGGTATCAAACACTATCGAAGGAGTAAAATGTTGCAGACATTAATTGAAATCTTTTAATGAGTCATTTGTGTAATGGAGGTTTGGTTATTGTTATAACATCTGAGGATTGGCTGAGGCTGTGGGGGAGGGGCCCAATGTGAGATCGGCCCATGAGGCCCAACATTTCTGAAGATGGCCCTGGTGATGGGACACCGGGTGTTTGTTTGAACAGGTATTCTTTAATCGAATTGTTTTTTTTTTACATAGCTGTTTTCATACATGCACTCCTGAAAATTTCAGACATACATGAAGTTTCTTCTTTTTTTTTAAGATGTGTTTTTGGGCTTTTTGGGCCTTTAATGGAGAGATAGGACAATGGATAGAAATCAGGGAGAGAGAGAGTGGGGAATGACATGCAGGAAAGGAGCCACAAGTGTGAGGCACGAATGTTGAAGATAAGAAGAAATAGAAGGAAAAATGCGTTTAAATATCACTAAATATTATTTATTTAATATAATTTTCAAGCTATTAATTAGTAACGTTATGAAAGAAGCCATGAAAACACAACTAGGCCTACTTCACATATTTAAAAAGGCTCTATTTTCTTGCCTCCTGCTTGACCCGGCGCATCACAACACCGCTGCTCGTTACCTGCTCGTTGTGGAAGAGGAGGGCAGGTGACTTATTAGAAGTGAGTGACACTGAGTGTACCGATTAATATCACATTTATAAATGACCGTAATGTAAAAAACAACAACAAAGCCCTCGGGAACCCAGGGACGAAAAAGAAGAAGAGGAGGAAAATACGAAAAAGACACAGAGGTAACGTGCTGCACAGATCAATGATTTATCTGTTGTATTTAAGATAGCTCGTTACTGATGGATGATAGTGACGTCAGTGTTTCCTAGCTCGAGTTAACATCAGTTATTTCCACTGTACTTTTATTAGGTTAAGATTATTCATTTTAAGAAAATAACCAGTATAAGTAATACACTTCTTCTTTTGTATAGTAGGCTATGTTGTTTGGGACACAAAACCTACTTTTATATTAATAGACATCTCTGTATTTAGTTATCTTTCACCCTCGTCGATTAAAATGTTTATTTTCCACCTCCTGTTGTTATTAATAGTTTTAAGCTCTTGCCTTGAGTATTGATGTCTAAGAGCATGAATGCATTTTGTGCTCGAAGTCCACACTGAATAGATATGAGTGCATGCTGTAGGTCTGGTTGTAAGGAAAACGTTTGGGCTCACCTGAAAAACTATGCTGAGTTTTCTGAACTGCTCTCAAGAAAAAATAATATTATGTGTTCACACTATATTACAAAATGCCCATTGTTTCACAAATGCTCATCTCTCTCCAGATGCAATCTTAAACATTTAAATCCATCCCCTGCAGTCCCCGGGCCGTCTGTGTGTGACCACTTCTGCTCCCTGCACTGTTTGATATTGTTTGTTCTGTTACACTAGTTATTTGTATTTATTTATAAGAAATATTAGTGTTGTCACCATTTTATTCGCGTTTGTTTAGAAGTATTTTTTATTTTAAAATTAAGAAATTATGTCAAATATAAAGCTGTATGCCAGGTTTCTTTAAGTGTATTAATATCGGGATTAGTGGTCAAACTGTCTGCAATAGGCTATAAGGGGCAACCGCTGAAATCTTGCCTAGGGCACCAAAATGGTTAGGGCCGGCTCTGTGTGTGTTTGAGAGAGAAAGAGAGAGAGACTAACACTGGCTGGCATGTTGTCTGCCCTCATCTCTTGTGTGAGTTTAGTTCACTTTTATTGGACTCATAACCGCTGCTATGCCCGGAATCTGAAGTCATCCAGCATCAGCCCCTAACGGACGACCAAAACATCCTGAGCTGCCAGCGTGTGTGTTTTTGTGAGTGTATGTGTGCAGGATAAAAATGTCCTCACTCACAAACACACCTTCAGACACACTCAGAGGAGGACATGATTATTATTTTCCTTTGCATAAGAAGTAGAGATTGAATTCTCTTGAGACTCAGTTGGCAGAGAGAGTGTGAGCGTTGTGTCTGCAGACATGCGAGAGCCGAGCAGAAACGTAATATTTTACAGCCACTTGTCCAACCAGAACTTTACTACCTCTGATTTCACTGCAACTGAGCAGCACTACAAAGACTCTGAGATTTTTACTGGAGCCACGCCGACATTTAAACAAGTGTACGAGATGAAATAAAGCCATCTGTCCCGTCAGAAGCAGCAGCGACAACAAAGTGTGAGCTCAGAGGCCATCTGACAAAGATCAATGAAGTCAAACACTCTGGAGCGACTTTTATTTGTCCTCTGTTTAGGGAATCTAATAGAGATGTTTAACATTCAGTTTCCTTCATTGTTTTCTTGTTTGAAGTAAAATTGTGAAACTTATTAAGAAGTATTTTTGTCATATTTGTTGAAATTCTTTCTGCATCCTGACATCAGTAACTTAGCAACAACAATGATGCAACTGCTTTGTGAAGCGAAGTCAATGCATAAGAGCGGTGGACTGAAGTTCAACAGCAAAAAATGTTTGCAAAATAAAAAAAGTTAAAATAATTGTTATGTGAAATTTTAAAACATTTGAGAGAGACTGCTTGTGTCTCAGTTTTTTGTGGTTGACCTTCTGGGCTGGCCCTAAACCTGTATTCTTTGTTATGTCCAGCAGGGGACGACTCGTCATAGTCTGATTGTATAGAAGTTTTTCATAAAACGTTCCAACTTTGTCAGGCTGTTTCCCTCAGTAAACATTTTCCCAATGAGTTCGATGGTGTCAATTTCTAGTTCCAAGTTTATTTCAATACAGCGTGAGGTTCATTTAGTAAATTATGATTGCATTTAGAGTTAAAGAGACAAGAGAGAAGGGGAGGAGTTAGGGTAGGGTTACCTGTGATTGTCACGTTTTAAAAATTTAGTTTTATCCTAAACATTTAGCTAAGATAGAAAATACATAGGATCGAAGCTAAATATTTTGAATCAGGACATGTATTTTTTAGAATTTAGATATAATATTTAACATTTATATGTCAATAAAATGATCTTAAATTTATATTCACAAAAAATAAATATGACAAAGTTCCCAAATATTGTTCTAAATGTGATTAAAAAGTAATTTTTAAAATTACAATTTTTAGGGATGTTTTAGAGTTAAATGAAGAGAAATGTTGCCGATATTTTTCGTGCACACAACTTTACAATCAGCAGCCCATGCAAATCTGAAAAAGTCAAGGTGTAAAAAAGGGACTTGGGTGACATTACTGCGGGTATGTCTTTTAAAAACAAAACAAACAAGCAAACAGTATTTGGTTAAACACTTTCAGAATCACTTTTCTGGAAAGTTTCTAAGAGCTGTGTAGCACATATTTAAAATATTTGTTCTTAGGTCTTTTAAAAATCAGGAAGGAGACAAACTGTGGATCACTGATCATTTTAGAGTTCAGTCTAAAACAGCTGGTTTTGGCCGTAATATTTAAAGACTATGGTTTTGGCTGAAACTAAAGATGATCAGTTTAATTTCACAAGGAGAAAAGAAACCAGAAGATATTCAGATTTAAAAAAAAAAAACCAGAACAGAGGACTTTGACTTTTTGTTTTCTGACTAATTTACTTACACCAGTTCAGCAAATCACAGACAACAAAACTTTCAGGTGAGCTGAAAGTGACCTGAATCTGATTTTATGACAGTGTGAACAGCACGTCACACTGAATAGGACCTTTTCAAATCAGATTTGGGCCACTTTCATATGTGAATTATCAAAGGAGCCTGATACAGGTCGCAATTAAAAAGCAACGTGAACAGCCAAACAAAACAATCAGATCTGAGCAAAATAAACGGAATGGATAGCGTAATTAAAAATGGTAGCAGGTCTGAACCTGTATTTGTGTTTTCAATGTCCTGCAGGTCGAGAGCAGCAGGTCTGTCAGAACAATAACTCTGCTCTGACTCCACTCGGTCCAGCTTTAGTGCCATCTTGGGACTCCACACGGCCAGTGAAACCACGGAGCAATAAAAGAGGCGAGTAATGAGAGCTGTGGTTAAGAGACCTGCGATGGCATGACCATTAGTTTCCCTCCTCACCTCCAATCGTTCTTTCCATCAACCTCTTCAAAAATGTTCCATCTGATTGACCTTGAGCGTTTCTTTCCTTCCTCACGTGCAGATACTAAACCAGTACAAACCAGATCAAAACCAGACCGCCACCCTTTTAAACCACTTTATTTCAGAGCAAAAAGGATCTCACAGTCTTCCAATGCAGGGTCAGAATATTATACATCCTTCCAGAGTCAATATTTACAGCTAAAATAAATTACATTCAAATAATAAAATGAAGATTTATACAGTTAATTAATGTCACTAAGTTTGTTCAACAGCTCAGCATCCTCAGACATAACAGTGCAGAGACAAACTGTCCCTTCAGATTAAACAGCAGCATCCACACAGCATCACACCGAGCGAGCAGGAGTAACCACAGTGAAGAAACACAGAAGCCGAATTAAAGACAGTTTAAAAACCAAACAGAACCGTCAGTCGTGACCAAACAGGTCCAGAGCTGGGCACAGAGCAGCAGGAAGGGGAGGAGACATTCTTAAACCTGGATGTTTGGGTGTAATGGCCCGCCTGTACAGAAGGAGCTCAGATTTATGGAGGAGAGTAATGTCGGAGAGCAGACGGTGAGTCTTTCTTAAATCCAACCATCTGAGCTGACCAGGAAACACACCTGACATGTGAAATCAGGATGATTCAAAGACTGCAGATGACCCCCAGATGTTCCCTCACCTTGTGTTCAAAAAATGTTCCCTTTAAAGCCCCACCCCCACTGAGAGGATGGCACACAGGGCATCATGGGAAACCATCTGAGGTTCATCTGCTGAATGTGTGAGCATTTTCTATACGAGTGTGCTGCAGATACAGAGCAGCTAGTTTACAGTTAATATCTATGTGAGGAGTTTTTGTGTTTACAGCAGAGACTGGAGCTTAAATGTGAGGTTGGTGATGGAATGAATCCCTCCGTCATGAGGCAGCGATTTTCTCCGGAACTGCATTTACACACCTCCCCAGTTTTCCCATGATCCCTTTCTGCAGGGGAGATTCAGACTGAGCCTTAGTACTGATCTCACAGCAGATTAATCAGATCTATACTGAGGAGGAGTTAAGTTAAGGAGGGTACAGGGGCTGACACTGAGGGAGGAGTGGGAGGCTGGCTGGCGCCCCCTAGATGGAGTGAAGGACTGTGTGCAGAGGAGAGAGAGAGATGAGGAAGAGGAGGGATGTCCTTGTCCTCTTGGTCAAACACTAGCGGTATCGCATGATCACTGGAACTGAACCAGACAAAGAAAATTCAGTTATAGGAACGCACAGTCAAATAAATGTATATTCTGTTTGTCTGGTGTTTAACTCACTGATGATGATGAGCAGCAGAGCGACGACTACCAGAGCGATTATGATCTTCATCTGTGGGACAAACAGCGCATATTAAACACCATATCTATCACACGAATAGAGGACACACATGAAGAAGACAGACGCAGACAGACAGATGGCTCACCTTCATGTCTCTCCACCACATCCTCCTGTGCAGCTGTTTGGCTCGGCTGCTGAAGGCCGACGCGTTGTCTGATAGGCTCTCTGAAGGGTCACATGACCGGAGCACCAAAGAAGAAATGTGAGGAGAAGAAGAAGAAGGAGAAGAAGAAGAACTTTACATATAAAGCACCTTTTCAAACAAGAATTTACTGCTTCAATACCCAAACAAATAAAATCTCAAAAACAAGCAAATCAGGAACTCAGTCGTTGACAAGGGAAACCACACACAACGCGGCCAGTTGAAAAACCGAAGAGACAAAAGTTGTAAAATAAAAGTGTTCAAACACATTAGAGAGAAGAAAAGGTGAGAGCAATAAAAAAAAGTCAAAGAAAAGAAGATGATTAATAATATAAAGCAGGCAGTGATGTCTGTAAAATGTTGCAAGTTTGAAGCCTCAAAATGCAGAGATTATATTAATCCTCTACCACACCAAATGTGGAAATGATTGTAAGAGATCTGTCTGTTTTAGAGAGATAGAATCATCCTGGTCTTATGTAGAGCTGTTAAAGAGATCCCTCTTGACATCAGGCTATGTATGTTGAGTCACTGCTCTGAGGGGAAAAGTAAAAACTCCCCTGCACATGCACAGTTTTTGAGGAAAATCACATCCTGCCTTTCTTTGAAGGGAATGAAAATATGTGGAAATACAATAAACTCAGGAAAAAGGGAGCCTTTCATACAAGTCCTAGAGGTGACCCAGTCAAAATTAAGAGGGAATATGATCAAAGAAAGCCACTATTACAACGACAAACTCTTGTTTCTGAGAACATTTTCACTTCACTAAGATTCGACTTCATTTTATGCATTCAGCCAACATTTCTGTCGTTGATGTAGTGTATTTGTATCCTTACTGAACTGTCAAGGTTCTTTGCGTACAGTCATACGTGGAATACATCTATTTGGAGAAAAAAGGAAGACACACATGACTGTATTCACACCCCAATACAGGAGGCGTTAATGCTCGTAACTGTTCCCTAACCACTATTAAACAACAAACAAAGAAGAAGCAGATGCAACGAAACACAAGAAGAAGAGTCCCAGTTTTCTGGGAACTTTACAAAGTCAAATCACTGCAAGATCTAAATAGAAAAGATCTATTTTCATTCCACCTTATGATCTGTTACCATGCAGTGTTTTATAGTTAACGCAGCTGCCTTGACAACACACGCCCTCCACCTTAACTTATACTGTAGAAAACAAACAAAATTGATTCAAATCCTCCTGTGTGTCTATGTGTGATCTTACAGCAACTCCAGATGTTGCTGGATGCTCTGTAAGAAATCAGACGGTCAAGGTCAGACGGTCACGGTCAAGGTCGAATGGATCTGTGGATCACTCACTGTACAAAAAGGAAGTAAATTCAGTCTCTCTCTAAAATCAGTCACAACAAACCCAAAGCTGTCTGGATACAATATTTATTTAACCACGACTTTCTTGTTTATTTTATACGTACGTTATTTGTGTTTTAGATTTTCACACCTGAATATCTAATGTTCGGTTTTACAACATGTTGTTTAATAACAATAAGCTGTCTGTTGTTGTAGAGAAAATGACTCAGACTGCCTGGCTCTGTGATAGTGTGTGTGTGTGTGTGTGTGTGTGTGTGTGTGTGTGTGTGTGTGTGTGTGTGTGTGTAGCTCTGAGGTGTTACAGTTACGCAAGTCTCTGCTGCTCTGATCATTAAAGTTTTTTTTGGAAATCTAAATGTTGAACAACATTTTATCCACAGTGGGGAACAAACACCTTCTGCTCTCTCTCTCTATTTGTTGGTTTCTGTTGTTAACGTGATGTCTCTGCGTGTACTAACAGGAAGGGGACAGCTCCATTGCGTGCAGCGTTGTTCTCTTCCAAGCCTCCATCCTTCTTCAGTCAGTGTGTGTGTGTTTGTGTGTCATGTGCTGGCTGTTTGTTCCTCCATGTGTCTGTGAACAACCTGCAGGAGTTTCACTACAGGTCACCTGCAAACTGCACCTGTCAATCACTGGATGTTAACGTTCCAACATGGAGGCAACTGTTAGGAACAACACAAACCTTACGGATGTGCCACACAACAAATCTATAAAAGAAAACTACACACACACACACACACACACACACACACACACACACACACACACACACACACACACACACACACACACACACACACACACACACACACACACACACACACACACCACACACACACACACACACACACACACACACACACACACACACACACACACACACACACACACACACACACACACCACACACACACACACACACACACACACACACACACACACACACACACACACACACACACACACACGTGTTCCAGATGTGTCTATGTCTTGGTTTGCTGCTCGACATGATGGAGGGACGTAGTTACACATCATCTGTGTGAACATCAGAGTGAGGGCTAATAGAAACATTAGCCTCGTGTGGAGGAGAAGAAGAACACAAAAAGGAAGAAGACGAAGGAGAAAAAGGTGAAGAAACTGAAGAAGAAGAAGAAGGGGGCCTGTGTGTGGTACAAAGCCTGTCCCTGAGACTGATTTCAGACACACACCTGGTAAATCACTAAACCTGGACATCTCATGAGCACGTTTATAGTTCACTGAACATGTTAACAAGGAGGCCCTCCACCACTGTGAACACAGTTTTGACTTTTAAACTGTTATGTTTGCACGTGACATTCGTTACAGTCTGTGTGTCTGCGAGATTTAAAGCTGAACTGATGAGAGAATAAAGTTTATTAATAGAGCACCATTCATACATATAGCAGTTCAAGGAGTTTGACAGAGTTAAAAAGAGAATATTTAGGACATTAAGAGCGTTGAAAGACATACCAGAAACAAAGTAAATTACACAAAAAATATATTACTAAAATGATGAAATGATTAAAATGAAGTTTAACTGAGGAACAGATGCCTTGTGTTAAGGTTTTGCCCCATGCACAGAGGCTATAGTCATCAAAGCAAGCGGCCTGGTTCAAATGCAACCTGTGGCTCCTTTCCTGCATGTCATTCCCCACTCACTCTCTCTCTCTCTCTCTCTCTCTCTCGATCTCCCTGGTTTCCTACTCTATCCACTGTCACTATCAAATAAAAGACATGGAAGCCTAAAGATATTTTTAAAAAAAGAGAGCAGAGTAATAAAAAGTTTTTAGCTTGGACTGATCAGAGTTGGAGCGCTGCTTTTCCAAAAACTAAAATAATTATCTGTTTCTTTGTGCTAATTATGACATGACAGTGATACTTTTTGCAACATTAGCTAGTTTCAGCGTCTCAGATCCCTGGATCAGGTCATTGTCTTTGCGTCGTGTGTTGAATCTTATAATTACAGAGTAAAACATTTAAAGAAGTCACCTTCTTACATGTTTTTCCTTTTGACCCTGACTCCCGTAAATCATTTTTGCAGCCCTAGTTTAATGCTAACTTCTTTTCATTTTATTAATTTGACAGACTGAGAAGACTGTAAATGAAGCGTATCCACTCACAGCACGGCATCTGTGTGCAGGAATCACAGTCTGCAGATGTTTCATGCAGACAGCTTCCTGCTTTAAATAGGATTTACTTGTAATAAAATTCAATTAACTTTAATTCAAACCTATCCTTCAAACCTCGGGATCATGGCAGAATGTTTCCACTGACATAAACACATGGCCCTAAAAAAAATCTTGAATCCAGCAAGTCAGTCATGTACAAACCACGTGTGCTTTACACATTAATGAATGTCTCTGTTTTTATCTTATCAGAGGGATTATTTTAACCTGGAACATAAGAAACCAAATGTTACATGCTCATCTGACTTGATACTGTGAGCAGGTTTGTCTGGATTTCTCATCATCTCAGCCTCTCTCTGTGTTCTGTACCAAAAACAAAAAGGTTCAGAGACCTGACGCACATGTCTAAATGCAGCTATATTCTGTTTTCCATGAGAGTAATCTAAGCAGCATACATCATGCGCATCATAACTCTGATACTAGTGCACGGTTAAATGCACTTCATGTGTTAGCTCCACGTTCAAATAATCCAGAAATAAAAATAAAAAAACAAGCAGAACGCAGAATATGCAATGCGGACAAACACAAACTAACAAACCCTCCCAGTGTGACTCACCTGACTTGTCCTGCAGGTCGTCGAGTCGCTCTCCTCTCTCTATCACCTTGGAGATGTTCTCCTGCATCACGTCGATCACCTCGTCCACCTGAGACTGCACACTGAGGACAGGACGGAAAAAGACAGGGTCAGCGTTTTTTTTTTTTTAGGAACCCATCACAGCACAAAACATTCATATTCACAACATCAATCTCGTCTCTAAATCAAGAGTCATCCAGCCGGAGGCCAACCGCCTCACTGTAAAGGTGTGCACCTGATCAGAGCTTTATTCACTGTGCTTGTTCTTAAGCATAACAAGCCAGGTCCAGATGACCTTTTAGCCACCCTGATTTCTAAAGAATTCCCTGCAGTAGCTCTGGTTGGATGCAGGAGGGGGTGTTTGCAGCAAAATAAAACAAACAGTGAGCTCATAAGTGAGAAACAACACAAAGGAATGTGTGTTCTCATATTTTCCAGACATGTTTCACTGGTTGTTTAGGGCTAAGACTGCAAGAACGTTGCACACTGAGGGCGATAATATAAACATGACAAACACACCAACATGAAGTATGGTGACCACACGCACACAAACACACACACACACGTAAACAGAGTGAGGGTATAAGCTCAGGGTTCAGGTTCAGGTCCGGAGAGATGATGGCCCCCGGTTTCATGTTTTCACAACAATAACAACAACAACAACAACAACCTCCTGTCTCCCCGCATGTTCATTTAAAGACAGACCTCTGCAGAGGGACCGGGTCATCCTGGTGAGGTTTCACAATAACGTGCACATGAAAAGTCTCTCTTACACAATCCGTTAAAAACCAGCAGCTTCTGGTAAACATGAAAAGTTACATAAGAGCAGCACCAAAGCTCAGCGCTCTGCCTTAACCCCTCTGAGCCCCGCGTGTGAGTCAGGAAGGTGTTGGTACTTACTGCTTCAGTTTGTCGTTCTGAGGTCCAAATCTGGGTCCAGAGGGCCCCCTCCTGCAAGGCAAACATGGTTAACCATTTAAAAAGTACTCTAACACCTATATTTAGTACATTCTGGTCCTATATTGTGATCTTCAACATTACATGGATACCAAAGAGGTCTTAAGCTTCTCATTTTGTCTCCTTGTTGTAACGCTAATCTTCCTGAAACCTCACCTTTTCTTTATAAACCTTGTTGATGCTGCCTTCCTGTAAAGTGGTGGTTAATAAACTGGGGACTAAGATTAGATGTATGGGCCATATTACTGCTTTCTGACCACCTTTTTAGTGATTACTCTTCTGGGTCATGTGTCTGAGCCGGTTTGTTTCATTGTTCTGTTTGTCATTTTATCTTGCACTGAAAAACGTTAATAAAAATATATGATGAAAAAAAACAAGTATTCTTAACAACTTGTTTGGACTCAGTTTACCGTGCTACAACCAGAAATGGGCACAGTCAATAAAGAATTTAACTTGAGCAGTTCATTCTGTTAATTATGAACTGAAGTTAACTTTAACGTTAACCGGTGTTACGGTTTGAAGAGTGACCATGTTAACTGCCGACTTTCAGCTGAGTGTCTGTGGGTTGTTGTAGTTACAGACGTATATGACTGGTATTTTAGACATTACAATAAAAAAATTAACAAAGCAACATCGACTAACAGTCGCCAATTAACATGGTCACTTTTTTAAACTGTAACATAATATTTTTACAAAGTCAATAGATGTGAGTTCTTAAGAGAATGATGACTTAAAAACTCTAAACTACACATGTGTCTGTCTTTAAATATAACTACAAATGATTCAAACATTTTGATATATCACCACTGTCTTCTCTCTCGTGGGGTTCATGAAGTACCATCATGAAGCTCTCTAAAGAACAAGAAACTAATGTCCTTGTTAAAAATCTATTTAAAAAATGAACGCTAATAATTAACAGTAACAACAATGTCCAGCTCTGGCTACAACAATCAATATCAATATTCTGTCTCTGATGTCTTGTTAAAATGTGTGGGAGGAGAAAACATCTTCACACAAACTCACAGAAAGAAGTCTTCCTCCTCATCAGAATCCTCCTCCAGAAGATTCCTCTGTAAAACAAGAAAAGATCAGAGATCAGACAAACTACAGTATCCTGATGGAAGACATCTCCTGCTGTACTCTTCACTGAATAACAAAAGGGTTTGAACTTGGAAGATGCTGCAGCCTGTGACCAGTAAAGTTATCTGCCCAATCGTCCCTGATTCCCCCTCCTGTTTGCAAGATAACAGCGGTGTGTAATGAATTGCTTGGTTGCAGACAAAGAGTAGATTCAAAAAGGATTCATCGCTCTGATTTCATTCATCCTTAACTGTCCCAAAACCAAGTCTTTGGGTATCAGCTGATCCTGACGGCATTGCAGATTTCCAACATTTAATTAACAAGTTGCATTAAAGCTAGTCATTTAAGTAACCTTCTATCTTAAAGGCTATCAACCAGCAGAAAGAGCAACAATAGCCAGTTAGTCTGCAGTTTTTTGACTGCCCCTGATGTTCATGCAGGAGTAAATGCCCACGTCACACATTGTTTGAGCTGCTGGTTCACAGAGTGGATGTCTTCTGAAAACGTTGGTAATAAAAAGTGAATCTGAGGTGCATAAAAGAGATTGATGGATAAGTCGATAAACTATGAGTAGTCACATGAACCTGCTTTAGTTTGTGTTTGACTGGTTTTTATTACCAGGTCTGATTGGTTTGGATTGGAGGAGATATTTGCGGATAATACGGCTTCTGTTAAAACCTCTTAAGCAATGAACACAGATTTTGAGAGTAGCCTTAGACTGTGTTGGTGTAGCAAAATTAAAAATCTATTAAAGAATTAAAGATCTATCACTTTCTCTCCCTCTTTCTTTCAGGAAAAATGGCCGTCCATGCTGCTGTTGCATGACATAGGACACGTATGTAGAGACAGAACTGAATGGATCTGCCCATGACTGCTCTGACTCTCACTGATATCTGCTCATCTATTTCAGTCAGTATTGGACTCATTCGTATCTGGTAGCAGTGTTGATCAATGCCTCTCTAGTTGTTTGTCTTTACTGACAAAAAATTCCAAAGGACAGGACACATGAGGAAGAGAGAGTGAAGACGACATGCACCAAACGGTCTATGTGGTGAGGACATCGGACACGTAGTGTTGTAGTTTTAAATGATTTACAGACTGATCTTAACAAATACAAATGTTTTAATTCCAGGGAAGAGCTGCAGAAAGAAATCTAAAGGCCCCAAAACAGAAAAGATGTTAAACTGATTTCACTGACTCCACCATAGGACGGAGAGCAGCTCTACTCATTCATAAATGATCTTTAGAAGGCTGATTATTCAGAGATAACTTCTTATTATACTGCACTGCATTATGATGACTCACTGACAATAAAAGAGTGCTGCTGCTCTGCTGTAGTGCTCCGTAAAGACTCTGAAGAGGACAGTCAGTCTGCTGCAGAGTCTGGCTGTGCCTAAACACACTCAGGTGAGGGAACAGAGAAGAGGATCACTATTTAACCACTGCTGGCTTCAATCACTGGCCTAAGAGACTGTAAAATGCCATTCAGGGAGAATCAGAGAGGACAGCTGCACTAAATCCTCTGAGGAGAGCTGGACCAGGATGAGACAGGAGGAATTTATTCACTGCTGCTGAGAGGGAAGAGTCTTTATCTTAGTGTTGTCACACCACCAGAATTCAAACATTCATATAAAACTAGTAAAAATGAAATGATATCCATCCCTATTTGATGCTACGGCAACAAAAATAGAAGTCCTCCTAGGTACTCGTTTTCACTAATATCTTGCTTTACAATTACCAAAATTTGCAGGCAAATTCCTGCACACTGCCTAAAACACTGATACATTGGCAATGTTTCAGTTGCCAACATGTTTGGGCAATTTATACAGTGTCACCTCCTCTGCTCTCTGTCTAATAACTGTCTGTCCTCTTGGTTTCATCTTGCACATCGATGATCTTTCCATATTTCACTGCAGCGTTTCTCATGGAAAGTGTGCTTAGGACTTGTGTGCTGCCATTTCCACAACCTCAAAGAGATCTGGGTGAGCTCCAGCTTTTCCTCACGGGTTGCCCCACAAGACGAGGTGCCCGACGATCTCCTCTCTTTATGGGGAAAGTCCTAAGAAGTACCTTCACGCGGGCTGATAAGTAGCTCAATGTTTTCAGGTCTTTTCAGGTCCTCCAGCTGGGTTTTAGGAAAGAACTTCTTCAGCTGCTCAGGTTTGATGACAAACAAGTTGGTGACCTTTTTCTGTGCCCCTGGGTTACTCTGAGACGATGTCTTCTACTGTTGACCCTCATTTCTCTACCTCCGTCTCCATAGACACCTAATGAGACTTTATCACTCCTCAGATTTAACCTGTTTGCAACTTTTTGGGTGATGTAGTTGGTGTCTGATGCGTAGTCAATCAGGGTTCCAGTTTTCTGACATTGGCATTGGCAGGCAGCATCCAATGAGCCACCAAAAGGACTTGAAAAATATCAGTTTATCTCTCATGGCCACCTTCGTTTAAATATGACTCAAGATTTGTAGTTTTTTATAAGCTTCTGTACTTTTAAAAACACTCGATCACTGATCTCAGATTGTATAGCTATGAAACATGTGGTATGAATGAAGTAGCAAAGTATTGAAAATGTGACTACCTTACTCTATCATGATGATAGCAGGAGTCCGAGCATGCAAACAGTTTGTAGGTTCACGAGTGTAGAGGCAGTATTGGACCCACCTGAGTTATAGTATTCAGAGCTAGTGAAAGTTCAATCTCTTTATCTTTCTTCTTGTAATCCTGTCACTACAAAGAGCAGACAGAAGGTCACGTTCACAGCTGCCGGCATAAAGAGACATTTATACTCCTGTAAATAAACTGTGATGTGCGGAGACGCTGAGGGGATGGTGACCATATGACCATAAAGAATTATGTAAGTCGTGGCGCTGATTCTCTCTCTTTGTTTCCACGGTGTAGTTTGTGAGCCGTGAGGGAGATCTGGTAGTTATTATCAGAGGGCCGGAGGTGAGGCAGTAAAAGCAGAGAATGAAGGTGGAAGAAAGCTTTTTGTTACGCCACTCTCTCTGTAATCTCAGCTTTGATCCCACTTCCACTCGAAAAACAAACAGCATTACCCAGAGAGAACAGAGGAGGGAGGAACAGGAGGAGGAAGAGAGGGAGGACAGGGAGTAATCATGCTGATGAGAAACAGACTTTTGGTTGCAGGAGTATCTGATTATCAGAATCCTCCATAAATAGTTTATTTGTATTTGGAAAATAGTTCCACCGATGCACCAGGGCCGATACAGATGGTTAATTAACCACTTAACCAACTGAAGATACCGATGTTTTTTTCATTACTTCTTTTGTTGTAAGGGCCTGTGTCCACCTGGTGTTATTTTCGGACAGAAAAGCGCTGGCTATGTGTTCGAGAGTGATTGGATAAAGCACTTTTGCGCTGAGAATAAAAGCGTTACAAACGCATCTCGTCTCTATGACAACAGTGTTTTGACAAAGGCCGCTGTATGACTGACACTGCTCCATTACATTTTACTGTATGTGTTATATTTGTTTGTTTTTCCCTTCGCTTTGAACATCAAACAGAGAATGATGCCCTTTTTTCTTTGGATGGTGGGCTTAATATTATTGACGCTGTCACAGCTCCGATCAGACATAGAAAAGAAAAGCCCGTCGGTCACGGCTTGCGAAAAATTTAAAGATTTTACACTTCAAGCGCTCGGAGCGGCAGCCCAAAAAAGGCGGAGTGCTTGGAAAAAGGAGCGGGCGGCCTCCTGCTGCTGCAAACACACTCTCCACATTGTAAAACAATTGAAAAAGAAGCTGGTGCTCAGAAAAGAACATCAGGTGGACACAGGACCATGAACACAAATCAGTTTGTCCAACAGGTGAATTCCTCTTTCCACTTAGTTTAAGCAAATTCTAAAGCTCATAGCAGCATCTGTTTTTTTAATTTAATGGACTTCAACTGAAACTTTAAATACCAATATTTCTATGAACACGGTTAGGGCTGGTTAAATAAATCCATTCATCAATGAATTGCAATTATTATTTTCCCAATTCAATATCGATTCAAGGAAATCTTGAGATCGTTGTAATGACGTCCCTCTCCACTAGGGGCACTGTGGGTGCTGTGAATTCAGGTCGGGCACAATTGTGCACTTTACATATTTTTGTCCATATCATTAAAGCACTTTTATGTTTATTAAGATTTTGCTGCAAATTCAGCTCAGGCACAAATGTGCACTTTAGATCATATTGTACTTAATGTTTTATTATTTTTTTATTAAAGAATAATGCAACAATAAAATAAATTTTTGAGTCAGTTTGTTCTAAACCTATACAAACAAGGCACACATAATTATTTAACAAATATCAGAAGGTACTGTGATGAGTGTACCTGCATATATCACTTAATCGATATCGAAGCGTATTGATCGATAACGAATGGAATTGTGACCCAAAGAATTGAAATCGAATTAAATTGTGAGGTTGTGGACAATACCCAGCTCTAATCACTGTGCTAAAATTATGATTATTTTGGTTAAGCTTTTCAAACACCTCCCTCCCCCTTCCCTGTCTCACCCTCTCACTGCGGATTGATCCCGTGACCTCGTCATCGTTCAGGTGTCTTTTAAACTTGGGGGGCATGTTGTCTTCAGGCTGCTCCTCCAGATCCGGCTCCCTCTGCAGGAAAGGAGGAGGAGGACGTCATTAGTCAGGACCAGAACAACACCACTGTAGATCTGTTTCTCTCACACATACACACACACACACACAGCTGCTAAACTTAGACACTGGTGGGTGTAGGTGAGTGATTTAAGTTGCAGGTACAGGCATAGACAGATCCAGTCTGCAGCAGAACAAAGCATGAAGTGTCTGAACAGAGTAGAGTCTGATCATGAGACATGGGGAAGCGATCTGAGGAGGAATTCAACTCCAAAAACGTTCTGTTCTGCAGTCAAACTTTGTTTTTAGACACACAGCTGATTCCATCCCTCCTCTTTGATATCTAATATTTAGCTCAGGAACCTTCTCAGGACGTGTTTCTTCCATTATGTCTGTGAAACATTCTTTTGGGCCAGTAAACAAAGTAGTAAGAACTATATATTTCTGGTGTTGACTCTCAGGGACTGTGAAAGGAAATGTCATCATTGCTCGGTGTCTGAAGTTAAAAACATGCTGTTCTTCCAGATTTACCCCCTCGAGTCTGTACTTTGGATGTTACTCATTCCACACGGTGCCACAACAACACAATAAAGTTCCTCTGTGACACTGAACTACACATTTAACTCTCTCTCTCGCTCGCTCTCACTCTGACTCTCACACACACACAAACACACGCAAACACACGCAAACACACACACACAAACACCCCAGCTCTCTCAGGTCAACTGTACGACTTGTACCATTGAATCCAGTTCAGCCTGACACTGTGGATTTCTCAGCAGCGTCCTGTTCTGGCTCTGTGGGTGGAAAAAGGCCTTCAGATGGCCGGCGGAGGAGAAGAAATTTCCAGTAAACAGAAGAAGAGGATGAGAAGGAGAAGGAGAAGGAGAAGGAGAAGGAGAAGGAGAAGGAGAAGGAGGAGGAGAAGCCAAGAATGAAGAGTTAAGAAACATTTGTTTATTTACTGAGAGGATCATTTAAAGGTGCAATCCATAAAACAATTCAAAGTTATTCCAGGTTTGGACCAAAGATGTGTGGTGACAGGACTATTGGGCAGAGATAACATGATCTTGATAGGGTATAAAATTACATGAAAACGATGATAAATTTGGACTTTTTTACTTGATAATGTTAGATCATGAGCCTGTCACAGGACAGCATTGTCTAGACACCAATATTAAACATAAAACCGCAATGTTTAGTTTTTCATCAATTTGTATTGTCTTTACTTTACGAACAGAATACTGCCCTAAAAATGAGTGACAAGTAATAGAACAAGCCTGGTTTTATTTGGACTACTTTCATAATCAGGACACTTCAATCCCTTTTCTGTCTAAAAACAAGAAATTACCCAACATTGGGTGTGTTAGAATTCTATTTTGGGTTTGGTGTCCAACAGGTATCGATATTGTTTGATTTTCACTAGAATCACATCAAAGTTGAAATACCATTCCTACTTATGATCTGTGCGAACAAACCTCCAATACTAAATACTCTCTGTGACAAATAATATTTTGAACAAATAAATAAAACTAAAATACAATTGTAACAAAGTGCATATTAGAATTCTATGATTACTGAGGCACAAAGCCAAAGTAAGTCGGTACTTTGCAGCCTTCTCGGACTGGTGTTGTCACGGTCTCCAGGGTTAGAGTCAGTTCTAACATCTCACTTCTTGTTTCTAATTATATGTCATTATGTGTAATTATCTTTTAAAGCATTTTTAAGTTGTATTTTTTGGGCCATCTTTGCCTTCATTAGATAAAGAAGTGTTGGGAGGAGAGAGTGGGTGGTGACATGCAGCGAACCATAAACCTCTGTACATGTCAGGGGGCCGCAACCTAACCGCTACACTATCCAACGCCCCCATGTAATTATCTTTTAGCAATAAGGCAAAAAAACAACAAAAAAACAGTAGTAAGTGGGGTTGTTGGGATACCAGAATTTTAAACTTTGATATAATACTAGTAAAATCAAAAAATATCTATACCTGTTTTAAAACCACAGCAACACAACTATAAGTCTTAGGCACCCAATATTGAGTAATTTATTGTTTTTTAAGTATCAAAAGTTGCAACTCACTCCTCCACACTGTCTAAGTTGTACTAATAAGCAGTGGCGGATCTCAGGGGTGGCCATACCCCCACCCACCTACTCCAGAAATCTGATTTGCCACCCCAAATCCTTGAGTTGAACTATTGTACTGATCCCCATTTTAAACTAACATATAGTGTTACAATGCTGGTCTGATCATGAGGTAAACGCATGTTGAAGTAATCCCCGGATGAGTCTGCAGAGATATAAAAATCAAGACAACCCGAGGTGTGTGTTTAATAAAATGTAATATTGTTGTTCACTAACATTTTAAAAGCGTTTCAGCAGCCCCCAGTCTCGTAATGCTAATGTAAAGACTTTAACCAAAGACTTCTTCAATGACAGAAATAAACTCGACACCTGTGTGTACAGCTTTCTTTTTAAACCTGTGTGTACCTTCCTGTATTATCCTCTCTGTAAACAGCTGTCATCAGGGGCAGCTATGTTATCACTGCACAGCAATTAGCACCTTTGGCTGGTTTAGCTATTTGTCAGCATAAATGTGTCTTCTAGCTACATTTACCTTCTACACTATTACATCGAAATATTCAAACTGAAAACAGAAATCTAAGAGCGCTAGCTTCGTTCTCATTCAGCTAGCTTTGCAGGCCACTGACATATTTAGCTTTTCAGCTAAGCTAAATAAGCTAATACGATTAGCTACCTGCTGTTTCACAGATGATCTGACTCCCTCGACGCAGGTGAACTCAAACACACGGTCTCAGGTGTGAATCCAGGTGCTCAGTGTTCCGGCTGGTTTCAAGGTATTGTGTAGTTCATGTCAGATCCTGACCGGACGGTGACACCGGGTTCTCATCACGGAGGATGCTAGCTGCTCGTCTTCTCGTTAAGTCGGCTAACCGGTGTACCGGGTTAAAGAGTGACCGTGTTAACTGGAGACTTTCAGCCATGCGTCTGTGGTTTCCGTAGTTACAACAACAGATCTATGACTGATGCTTCTTTTTTTTAGATTTTCTATTATGTCAAAAATTGTAATTAGATATGGCTTCTTTTAACAATTAACCGAAGAAACATTTGTTAGGACATTTTCCATCTTCAACGCCTGTTGTAACTAGCTAGGACAACCAAAACGCATTTGGCTGAAAAGCACCAGATAGCACGGTCACTCTATACATCGTAACACCAGAAACGAACACAAACAGTCTATGACACAAACAGCTGGAGGAGGAGAGGCAGCGCTGCAGATGTTTCTTCACCTTTCCATTTCGGCATTTGGGTTCTTTATTGTATTTATAATCTTTATATGAATAAACACAAAAATGCCATGATAAGTTAATGTAAACAGAACATAACCCTTCTCTTTATATATTTTGTATAAAAATAAAGACTATGATAACTTTTTCTGAAATTTGGTTGTTACAACAGTTCAAAAGGAAGCGCAAAGATAATCAGCAACAAATCAAAGACACACGTATTTACTGTCATTAAATATAAGAAGAAAGTTAGTAATAATAATAATAATAATAGAATAAAAAAAACTATGTTCACTTTACTTGTGGAAAGACAAAGAATAGTTACTTCAAAAAACTCACACGTGTGTAGCATATTGATTATGATAAACATTACGATACAGTTAAGCATAAATAAGAACTTTATAGAAGAGCACATTGGTGCAATAGATGACGAGATTGTTTATAATTTATTGTGTGGAGTCAAACAAAAAAAAAAGCAAAATAACTGAAAATAAAGGCATATATAACAGAATATTTTCAATTAAAATCTTAAGTCGTCTCAGTCATATTCACATTCATGTTTTTTTCATGTATTATTGCAAATAATGGCTGGCATTATATATAAATAAGAATATTCGATCATTATTTAGTTACTACTACTATTGCTTATGTTTTATTAAAGTAAGTTGAATGTTTTGATGTTTCATTAAATATTTTTAAGCTTTAGAAAAAAACATTTTGCGTTTTATGAAAGAATTTTACATTGGGTTTCTGGCATCTGGTCACATTTTTGTTTGCAATCATGAAATATAAGTGAAGTTAGTCTTCAGTGCCTGAATTTATCAGATTGCCTTTTAACTTTATTTTTTTACATGTCTTTGCTAAAGTGATAAGTGATTGACAATTTGGCTGAAAGAAGAAGGTTTAAAAAATAGAATAATCTTTTTTTTCATTAGTATACAATAAAATAATAAATTATATTAATAATACATTTATTAAATATATGTAGAGAATAATAGATTAATTATACTGTATTTATACTATAATTATGTTGTTCAGAGGCTGTACGAAGTTTGCAATTTTGTTTTTTGCTTTGGTTAAACATCTGTATGATTCCACCAGTCTGTTTAAAAGTGTAAGTCAGCCTCACCTGTAGGTGGCAACCGTGAGCCTGACATGCGTTCAGCTTGCCTAAAATTAGATGAGAACAAGAACTAGGGAAACTTTTTCCGGTAGAAAGCGTGAGCTTAGTTGGTAAGCTCACTGTTAATATATTAATATTTTCAGATAAATATATATATATTTTTTTGTTTTTTGTTTGTTTTGAGTGACATCTGGGAGCTCCGGTGTGTCTGTGTGTCGCGGCGCCGTCTCTCCAGCAGCCTCTCCCGGTCAGACATGCAGCGGGCCCCGGGCGGAGCTCCGCAGCCTCGGCCGCTGTTCGGAGGAGCTCTGTCAGCCGTCCTCCCTCACACCTCCGTGGACACCAGCCAGCTAAGGGAGATCCCGGACAACCAGGAGGTGTTTGCACATACGCACACGGACCAGAGCCTGATCGTGGAGCTGGTGGAGTACCAGGCTCAGGTGTCAGACCAGGACGCAGCCAGGTATCACTTTGAGGACATCGCGGGCAGTAACAAGGCTTCAGAGCCAGATAACTTCCAGGTGACAGGTATTGAGCCTGTGCCTCAGTCTGACCTATCCCTGTCAGACTGCAGCTCCGCCTGCGTGCTGACCGGGACTCAGTGCGTGTCCAAATTTAACGAAGAAGCTAAAAACACTGTGACCATACACCTGGCTGTGCTCCGCCTGCCTCGCTTCTCAACAGACATCCTGATCAGCTTCAACGACCCTCAGAGCATCAGCCCCTCCAGCAGCAGTGCAGCTTCAGCGGAGACACACTCACAGCCCTGGATCATGCACGACTTCCAGCGCCTGCTGCAGACCCTGACCCTGCACGACCCTGGCCTGTTCGGATAGAACAAACACTGATCTCTGTGTGGGGGCTCACCTGAGCACAGGTGTAGTCTTAGGACTGTGCTGTTCTTTGAAGGGTTGTCACATTACCAGATCTTTCAACTCCGATATGATATTAGTAAAAATCAAACGATTTGTTTACCAAAGCAACAAAAATAAAAGTCGGCAACACATATGGATACTGGAACTGCAGGCCAGCTCTTTGATTCTGTCTAAACATTTAGACTTTGCTCTTTCTCTTTCTCTCATACTTCAGCTGCAGCTTTGGGATCAAAATCTGACTCTCAATCTGACTGAAGATCTGAAGTTTGTGGTATCAAAAAGTATCAAAGTTTTGACACCATTAGTGCTTTGAGGTCTTTAAACACCTGACTCACAGCTTTGCCCTGATTGGTTCCCAACCATAGACTGTTAATATAGTTTCCAACACACAAAGATAGTCAGCGGTCCTTTGATGCTGTCTCTGCTGTGATGACACGAAGGAAAACATGTTCTGTTCTGTGTTTGACCCTGACTGAAAATCAAACGTATTCTGATAAGATATTTTTGTTATAATAAAAGTTAAAGATAAACGTCTCGTATTCTTGTGTCACTAAGGATTTTTACAGATGTCCTGAGTGGTGTAATGTCTCTACAGAGGCCCTGAAGGTCAACTGCGAAACTAAAACAGACAAAGCATTCATGAGAGGTTATTTTTGTGTCTCGAGATATTTTTGCATTTGACAAAGGGTTTTTGTGTTTTGTGAAAAATTCTTTGCGTTTAGATAAATGATGATAGATAGATAGTGTGACAGCAAGTCTTACAACAGCATAGAAATCTGGTCAAAAAGAAGCCGTTTGAAGACATCCCTTTGGGCTCCAGGAAAGTATTATTTCACAATCTTCTCTGACTAAAATAATCGATTAGTCATGGATATAACTGCTACATTCATCAGCCGAATGAGTTGCAGTCTGTCTTCATACGCTTGCATGTGAAGATAAGTGCTCTTTATTCATAAAGCTGTGATTGTATTCATGTTAAATCTCTTTGTGTATCTAAAAAAAAAGAAAAAATGTGACATATTTAAATATCCTCTCTGTCCAAAAGGCAAGTTTATATATGTATAGAGCATCGTTCATACTAAGAGCAACTAAAAGTGTTTCTGAATTACAAACATAATAATGCAAAAATTAGACTGTAAAATGCAAAACGCTAAATTACAAGCCCAACAAACGTGGGTTTGACAAAGACTCTTCACTTAACTTCATTATGACAAAAAAGCAGCAAATCCTCACTCGTATCACTCGTTAATGACTGAAAAAAAACAATCATAATCAAATATATTTAGCAGTTACTTATTTAAACTCTTATCTGTTGAGCCAGGTGGAGCCTTGTCCAAAATGTTAGTGCAAAATCCCTCCAATAACAGACTACCTGTTTATTGAATATTCACCCTGTAACATCACTGCTATATGACAGTTCTAACAACACATTTCTTCTGTAAGTGATGTCAAAGGTCAGAGCAGAGGTCAGGAGGTCAAAGTCAATCAGAGGTCAAACATATTAACTCCCTGTGCAGCAGGTAAAACGGAGGTCATGTTCTCCTTGTCCTCAGAGAATACGGTTGTAAAACGGTGGAAAGTGAGCAGACGGGTCCGCGCAGGAGTCAATATTAGATCAACTGTTTCCATTGTTCACGGCAGACGAATCATGCTGGACTCGTTCATTAGTCCGGACCTTTAAAAGCGCTGGAAAAACTTAATGCGAGGGAGAGTTTGGTGAAAAATAAAATTTATAGAATGGAAAGTGACCCTCACTATTTTTAGCTTTGAAGGTTTCGAGTCAGATTTGGAACTTTTAAGTCACACAGCGAGAGACAGATGTGCTGTTATTTAAAGTACAGAAGTTCTGATTGAATCTTTTGCGAAATAAAACTCATCACAGCGCTGGGTTTCAGGTAAACATTACACAGCACATAAAAGGAAGTACAGCCGGTCTCCTCAAAGCCACATCAAACCGCTTAGATCCTCTGCTGCCAGCATGACTCATTCACATCTCATCCTGTCCTGTCAGAGATCCAGAGGAACACATTCCTTCAGGAAACCTCCCTCTGACCAGCTCAAACAAACGCTCTGTTATTGGTTCTCTCTCTCTGTAATAAAGCCTGAATATTGACTGCAGATCAGACCTGAGCAGGGATTTAAAGCTGCAGACTCACAGGTCACATCAGGAGAACATCTCTGAGCTCCTCCAGGTCCTGCCAGACACAGAAGCTGCTGGGAAAACAAAGAGCAGAGGACCAAAACGTTAACCTCAGCACACAGGGTTAGGTTTTTGGATACTTTTCATTACCAGATGGTTTTCAACGGTCTAATCTCTGTTATATTAATAATCTATTGAAAAGTACCAAAGCTTTAATAAAACTACATCTATTTCAGAAAGAGCAGAAAGAATCCATCAGACAAACTCCTGCACACTGTCTGACTTGTACAAAAACATTTGCCTGCAAATTTTATGAATTTAAAACAAGAAATCACTTTTAGGAGCCTCAGACTTCTGTTTTTGTTGCATTGGTATCAAACAGGTTTTGATATCATTTCTTTAAAAAAAAAATTATATCAAACTTTAAATTTCTGGAGTCATGACAACCTCACTGTAGACAATCATTTCAAAGAGGAACTTTTAGTGATACGGGGAACACAATAAGACAGAAAAGACCCAAAAATAAGAAAAAGGGACATCAAAAGAATTCATATAAACAGAGTAAAGCGCCAGAACACCTAGGCCTGCAAGTCAGGCTATAATTTTAACAATTATTTATTTAGACAAAAATGCTTTTCAAAGTTTTTAAGTCATCAGGTACTTTATTTTGTTCTAACAAAGTCTGTGACATTTACCTGAATTATAACATAATTCAAATATTTAAATGATAAAACACACACACACACGCACACACTGAGCCCACAGCTTTGGGAGATTTAGGGTTCAGTGTCTTTCCAAAAATGTAAAGTTGAGGAATTAAATCAAAGAGAGAAGTGTTGTGAAGTGATCTCTTGTTTTATGTGAACAGTGAGAACATGATTCACATCCTGATCAGATATTTGTTTCTGGAGATGTTCAGGACTTCACATGAGGACGTCTGATGGGTTTTTTTTCTGATGGAGAGATAACTGAGCTGGAGTCACAGGAAGCATTTGTTTCTTTAACTATTCACACTCCTTCTTAGTGAAGATAATTCCGATTCTACCTTGTGAATTCTGCAGAAGGCTCAGTGTGAAGGAAAGAGCTCGGGGCTCTGCAGCTCTGACTGTGTTGACTTTGAGTCACAGAGGAAGAGGAGGGAAATCTTCACACATAGTCTCTGACCTCTGCTCACCTGAAGCCTCACACATGATGTGTTTGCTGACAGGAGGACCGATGCCTCCCCGATGAAGACGAGTTCAGCTTCCTGTTCTTCATCACAACAGGCTGCTGCTTCCTGACAACGTCCACAGCAAACAGAGGCGTGTGGTCGCCCACAGCCTGCAGCTGGAATCTCACTTTCATTTTCTGATTTATAAATAACAGTAAAATCGGCAGGAGCTAAAGTTTTATCGTACATGACTATAAAAGCTTCATGGGATCTAAAAGAAAACATGCAGTTAAGTGTGTTTCTCTGTTTCCATCAGGCCTGTGTGTGTGTGTGTGTGTGTGTGTGTGTTATATGTAAGGGGTTTGAACTGTATTTGTGTGTGTTACATGCTGGGTGTTTGAATTGTGTGTGTGTTACATGAAGTGTGTTTGAGAGGATTGTGTATGCTTGTGTGTGTGTATTTATGTTTGTGTGTGAGACATGTTGGGTCTGTCTGGAAGGCATCAGTCACAGGTGTGTGCACACTTCCTGCTCAGAGACTTCCAGCCCTGCGGTCATTTATTACCCACAATCCCCTGTTATCTCTGCAGTGTTTGTTCTGCGGTCTGCAGCTCTCATCAGGACCCTGCAGCTCGGACTTTATGATTAATGATCTCCTCCGAGTCTCTGTCTGTCAGCCCTCTGAGGTTCTGTGAAACATGTCTCTGGATTATTTCTTCTTTAGATTTACTGTCAAATATTCACAAAGTTCAGACTTAACATGCACAGTTCCTTAAAAATGCAAAGTCAGACACAGATAATTATTTAGTAAAAAGAACACAGAAGTCTAACAAAAGTTATTAAAAAATACAGAAAAGCTTTATTAATCCACTTTTTCTGCTGCACAGAAACAACAGGTCACAATCTGGCCCACATTAAAAAAGGAGTAAATCTACATGATCAGATCTGAGCGAGAGGTTTGATGCTCCAGATTGAGAACATTCCATCAGTCCTCCTGTTTCTTCTTCTTGTTCTGCGGTGAGGTGTTGTTGGTTTGCCTGAAGTGTTCAGACATGGCAGCCAGTGCTCGGTAGCGGTGAGAGATACTGTTCTTCACTTCTTTGGGCAGTTCAGCGTAGCTGCAGGGACGTACAGTAAACCACAGTCAGTACTTCTATTATAGACACACAGTCTCTGAAGCACTATAAGGCTGTTAAAACGTTTGATACTTCAATACTTTTCAATATCACGTGTTTTAAATCGATAAAATCTGTTTTTTTAATGATCGTTGGTATCAATACAGTAGTGAAACTTGAACAAAAACATTGGCAACATGTCCATAAATAAACATTACCAAAGTTTTTGTGCACTTTAGACAATGTGCAGGAGTTAGTACAGTGATCCTGAAGGTCAACTGAAAAACACATTTCACTGAACACAAAACTATTTCATGAGACATAAAAACATCCTCTCATGAAATGTTTTTGGTTTTACAAAATGTTTTAGCATTTCAGGAAATTATTAAAATGAAAATGTTTAATGTTTAAAGAGTTTGCATTCTGAGAATGCTGAAAAAATACTAAATACATTTTCTCCTCTGGTAGTTGGATTTTAACCTCACCGTTTTAAAATAAAAAGATCCTCCTCTTACTTTTCCCAATTCCTGGTTCAATTACTCCTCAATATGTTGCGTGAGCTGATGTGTTGTATGCTAAACTCAAAAAGAAAAGTTTTGTATTGACATATGGCTCCCCCTGGTGGTTTAAAGAGGACACTAACGTTTTGTCGTATCCGTTTGGCTGGAAACAGGGATCCCATCCAAAGTCTCGAGGGCCCCTGGGATCCACTATTTTCCCCTAAAATTACAAGAAGATCAAGGTGAACAGACAGTAAGAGCAATAAACACACACACACACACACGTAGATATTCTGACCTGTGTTTCCCCTCTGAACAGCTCCACTGGTTCATCTTTCCCAGCAGAGAATGCAAAAGTGCAGAGAGCCCACGCTGATTTATCCTCAAACCCGGCCAGCAGTTTGTGCAAACCTGAAACCGAAAGTTCAAACGGATCAGAGAGAGAAACGTCAAACAATATTTTAAAAATATTCAGCTGGGTTCTGGCACTCTCACCTTCTGGCTGCAGTTTATCCAGGAACCATTTTCTGCAGAAAAGAACGTCCTTTTAGAATTATTTCAGTTCATTAGGGCTCTTAAAGATAGAAATTTATTTTGAAAAAGTTATTCTACTTACATGTACGGACCTGGCAGCCCCCCCAGAGCCTTGAAACACAGACAGGTGTCCTCCACTATGACCGGCCCGTCCACCTGAGGACGATGAAGACGAAAAAACACATCAGCTTTAGGAGGAGAGCACAGAAGAAGACGGGTAAACTAAAATGTAAAAAACATTTTCGTTCAGTGAAACTAAAATAAAACGAGGCTTTATAAAAATTGAGAACTAACTGTTAATGTATTGTGTGTTTACAAAACTAACTTAAGTCAAATCAAATTATAGACAACATGTATTTAGTTTTGTCTTCGACACAAACAAACTGAGTGAAACAACATATCCTACGATGTGTCTCAGGCACGTCAGTTAATATGTAGGAGGAGCTTGCCGACTGTAGAAGTTCAAACTTTTGACTCTTCATTTCACTTTATTCTTTAGATGCTTCTTTGATGTCATGAGTGAAGCACTTTGAATTGCTAAAATGTGCGATATAAATAAACTTGAATTAACTTTTTAAAAAACTGATGAAACACCCAGAACTATAATGAACTTGCTTGGCACGTAATGATGAAAAAACGGATGGATGGAAACAGGTGTTGTACCTGCCGAGCGGCCTCCTTACACTTCTGTATGGAGATGTCATCGGGCTCTCCTTGGTACTCCGGCACTGTGAGAAACAAAGCAAAGATAAGAGGAACATAATTACTCTGCTTATGAGGGGTTAAACTAACATTTTGATACGTTGTAGATTTCCTCTTGATTATATCAGTTATCTACATTATTGGAAATTTGGATTAGCGTTTTCCTGATGAAAAAGATGATTATTTTTACAAGTCAAATATGACATCCTCAAACGTTTTGTTTTGTGCACAATCCAATTCATTTCAAAATCTTAGTGCAGGTTTCCCAAACTTTTCAGCTCGCGACCACTAAACAGAGGGTGCCAGAGACTGGGAAGCCCCACTGTCCCTTTGAGGTGGTTAATGCAAATAACAGCCCGCGCACACACTAATAGGCCAATCCAAACACTGGGAACGCAAAAGAATACATCAGCCTAAAAACCATACATTTATTTCATATCTTAATTTATTGTAGGAAAGGCTAGGAACAGAATACAAGTCATTTCCATGTTTAGACTTTAGCACTGAGTGGACAAACAAAACTTATTATACAGACATACAGGTGTTTTCATCTTTAAAGAGCAGCAGACACCTACAGTACATTCTCTCTGTCAAAATGTACACATTTTCATTTCACTTCATGATATGGTTTCAGTTGCAGTGTTTCCCCTAAACACTTGAAGGAATCTTGGTGTTCATGTGTTACTTTTAATGACAGCTGTCCTTTTCTATCGGAAAGGTATCCTTAAATGACTTCTTTCCCTGATTTCCCACTCTATCCACTATCCTATCCATACAATAAAGGCACAAAAAGCCCCCCAAATTTTTCCCCCCTACCAATATAATGGTAGGGGAAACACTGAGTTGAAACAGAACTACTTTTTGTATATTTTATAATAATGGGTAAAATATACAATTTAACATTATTTTAAAATGTTTCATTTTTTCTCGGCTTCTCTTTGGGAACCACTGTCTAATGATTATAATAATTATTATAGAATACATTAGTACTCAAAGATGCTTGAGGAGGAAATGAAAACAGAAAACAGATTATGTTGAATATGAATTGATTCAAAAGTTGACAACTTGACTATTGCAGCTCAACTTCTGATACATACAGTCAATCTTTCTGGACACCAGTTTGTAGGGAAACGTGTCTCCGAGGATCTGGATGACCTGAAGGAACAAAGAGGGATTTAAAAAAAAAAACAGCTTCTTTCTCTTACCTCTGTTTGACATACATGCACGGAGTTAAATGATTACATCGAAATAAAATAAATCTATTAATACTGAGTTGTGTCACATGAAATCAAGCAGTTGTGGATCATGTTACCGCTCGTGCTCATTGCTTCTAGTCAATATTGATCGATAATTTAAGGAGTCCTGGTCGAAGACAGACCTGGGGGTCTGTACGTCTCGGATGTGAACACCTTGATTCTTTACCTCTTCCAGTTTTTTCGCATTTCCAGTCACGAACACCACATACCTTCCTGCAGGCACCGCCATCACGCAAACCACCCGGAACACTAATGAGGTCGCACTACACTTCCGCTGCAGTAACAGCCAATCAAACAAGCCGTGCCATCCTTAGCGAATCAGCGGGTAGCATGTGGCTCCGCCTTAAAAAAATATGCTCCAATCAGTTAAGAAACCTACGGTGTAACCAAATATTGTGTCCGGACTGAAACCTGAGTCCGGGTGCCATGTGTCAGAGCAGCGGCTGTAAACAGAGTCTGTCCCCGGGAAACTGAGCTGTTTTAGCCCCAAAAATGAGTCTGTTACCCCGCAGCGCGGAGGAGTTCAGCTCCGCGGAGTTCTGGGAGAAGTTCTTTAAGAAGAGAGGAGAGAAAGCGTTTGAGTGGTACGGAGACTACAACAGTCTGTGCGGGCTCGTGCACAGGTACATCAAAGTCCCGGATCAGGTGAGACAACATGAAGGGGGGCACAGCGGTACAAACACCAGGCTCCCTCCGAGTGGGACTGTTATCACACCAGATTTTAAACTTATTGATACTGTTTGACACCAACACAAAAGGACTCCTGCAAATCCAACATTGTGTCATTTCTTGTTTTTAATTACCTAAATTGCAGGTGAACTCCTCAAATGCTCAAATAGTATTAATTCAATAGTAAGTATTGATCCCCATGGTCAAATATGACTCCAATACGAGTAAAAGTTGCTCAGTCATATTGGTACTTGCGTTAAAGGTCTGGAGTACTTGCTTTTAAAAATACTTAAGTTTTTTTCAAACTTTAAAAAGAAATCTACACATTGTTGACAATGAGTGCACACAAGAATACATCGGTCGGTGTTCCTTCTGCTACGTTATGTTTATTTAGAAAACATTATTCACATTTTTTCACAGACTACAGATTTCCAGATCTGCAGCTCCAAAACAAAAGGAATAACAATAAGAACAAAGAAAATACTCGATGAGCAAGGGACATGTCAGCCAGGCTTTACACAGTGAGCTCGAAAAAATCTTCAACCAGACCTCTATGAACAGTCTGTGTTGAGTAACTTCCATCCTTGGACCATAACTGATGAATGTAGTGTTTTGTACTCTCAGGTTTTGGTGGTCGGTTGTGGAAACTCTGAGCTGAGTGAGCAGCTGTACGATGTCGGCTACAAACACCTGACTAACATCGACATCAGCGAGACGGTGGTGACGCACATGAATCAGAGGAACGTAGAGCGCCGGCCCGGCCTCACCTTCCAGCAGGTCGACGCTACAAAGACTCCGTACGAGGATGGCAGCTTCCAGGCGGCTCTGGATAAGGGCACGCTGGACGCCATGGCGTCAGAAGAGGAGGGGAGTCTGGCCAGGAACATGCTCACTGAGGTGAGGAGACAGTGGGCCAGGGTGTGCAGAGGAAGTTTCTCTTTTACTCACTGGACAGACTCGGCATAAATCTCTGTGTTTGCTCCTTCAGGTGTGCCGTGTGCTGAGTGTGGGCGGGCGCTACGTCTGTGTGACTCTGGCTCAGGAGAGCGTGATCCGGCTGGCTGTGGAGCACTTTGTTCAGCAGGGCTGGGCGGTTAGGCTGCACTGCCTGCAGGAGGAACGTGGGAAAGAGGAGGACTCCTTCGCTCTGCCTGTCTTTGTTCTGGTCTGCACCAAGTTTAGACAGCCGATGCCCTCCCCGCTCCTGGAGATGTGTGTGGGGGAGGACGGAGCTCCCGCTCGGCTCTCACAGGTAGCAGAGCTGTTGTCAGCCGTGAGGGAGCATCAGGCGTACGCTGTCCTGAGAAAGAGGCTCAGAACAGGCACGGACGCCTGCTCAAACCTCTCCCTCACACTCTGCCACATTACGACCGGCCTCCCCAGATACACACTCACAGTACAGGACTGCCCCCCTGCAGCCAAGATGCCCAGATCAAACCAGTTTGCTATTTTTATTGGTGAGCTCTCCTGTTGTCTCGTCATGTTTGTTCCTTGATGTGGAAGCTCCACGGATTGATTTTATCCTCTGGTTTCCTTTAGTTCCTCAGGGCAGTGAGACGGCGTGGCTATACAGCTCCATTGAGGGCAGGAGGCAGCTAGCAGCCAGTGCTAACTTCAGGCGCCTGGTTATTGTGGCGATGCACAGGAATCAGGAGTACACAGACATGCAGGCCGTCCAGTCAGAACTGTCCCCCATGGTGATGGACCTGGCACCTCCGGGCATGCCTGCCAACCAGCAGGTAAACTCTCACAAGTGTTCCCTTTCATAAATCTCTTTAAAAGGTGTGTCTGTGTCTAAAGTGAGCTCTCGTTCAGGTGCCGTTCCTGTCTGTCGGAGGAGACCTGGGTTGGCGGGAGGAGGTCAGCAGGGGCTGAGTGAGCTGAGTGGGGAATACTGCGTGGAGAACGTCAGAGGAGAAGATGGAGAACTGTACAGGAGACTCGTTTTTCTCTCTAACACTGCCCTTGTCCAATCAGAAAGCCGTCTGGTCCCTTCAAATACTGGTATGTTCTTTTTTTTCGTCTTTATCATGAACTATGTGTTTACCAATCATGCATCAACAGCACTGTTTACACATGTTGGGTTTAAGGGACTATGACAAGTAATTTCCTAATATTTATCAGGGCTGTCAGCATGAAGGCATTTACTACAAAATGAAAGCATAACAAAAACTGATTTGAATTTCAAAATAATGGAATTTTAAGCATGGGATAAGTACGCTTCACTATTGAAACTCAGTTTATACATATACTTATTTTTCACTCTGTATTGAACAGGGTTTATTACATTATTTAAAAAATAGTCACACTCTGCTTTTTTCTAGGTTGTCGTAGTTTAGATTAGATGAGATAGGAAAAGATCGAATGATCTTTTATTGTCTCTCTTGAGAGAAATTGGTTGACTTCTGTGTAAAAAATAAATTCATTAAAAAGAAAAACATTTTGTGAAATCTAAAAAAATGATTTAAGGGAACCATAAATCATTTCAGAAAATGGAAAAGGGAGGACTATATTACTTGTTTTTTGATTGGACAGTCCTTAGCAACAGTCAGACGCCATTTCCTGTTTTAACGAACTTAAGCAAAATAAAATAAAATGTAAACAAAATAACAGTAGACCCACAGCGCCCCCTTTGGGGACTAAAATACAACTAAAATACTGTATGAACTTGGCACTCTGCACTTTATTGAACTTGTTACTTGACCTCCCTAACATGTAACCACGCAATGCTTTAAGAATGTATTTTTAATAGTTTTAGTCTCATGTTTATTGTGTGGTTGTTGTCACCTCTGTTATTCCTGTTTTTATGCTCTTGCTGGAAAACACATTCTCCTCAGCGCGATAACGGTTTGATTCATATTATAACAGACTTGTTTCTGTCACTGCAGCATCAGGTAACAAGAAGAAAAACAAAAAAAAGGTGAAGCAGACGGTGGCTCCATCCTGTACCTCCTCACTGTTAGTGGACAGCGGCTTCCTCTGTTGCGCTCACCATGAGGTGATGGTGTGTGGCCTCGCCATGCTGGGGGTGGGAACGCCACAGTACAAAGGTCAGAGCAGGAATGTTTTATACAGCAGATGAAATAGCCTCGAACGTCCCTCTTGGTTAATCCTCACCTGTGCTGCCCTCCTCAGACGGACCTGTGTCGGTGCTGCTGGTGGGGCTGGGTGGAGGAGGCCTGCCTCAGTTCCTGCGGGACTTTGTGCCAAACGTCTGTGTGGAGGTGGTGGAGCTGGACCCTGTCGTGTTGGAGGTGGCGAAGGAATGGTTCGGGTTCAGGCCAGATGATCGGTTGACGGTCACTCTGGGAGACGGCCTTGAACGCATCACTGCCCTGCAAGAAGAAGGTCAGTGAAGTGAACAGGAGGCAGTGAAGCCACACCTGTGAATTAATAACACCACAAGGTAACTGTGTCTTCTTCTTCTTCTTCTGTCTGCAGGTGCTCATTTGTTTGACGTTATCATGTTCGATGTGGACAATAAGGACAGCTCTGTGGGGATGAGCTGTCCACCTGCTGCCTTTGTAGAAACGCCAATTCTGCAGAAAGTCCGCTCACTGCTGACACCCAGAGGTACACTGAGGTTTACTTTCTTATGTCACTTTTTCTGTGTGTGTTGTGCTGATGATTTGTTTAAGCCACCAAATCCTAAAATGTTTTACTAAATGTTGTCACTTCACCGCCTCCCCCATTGGTCACAAACTGAAAAGACAGTAACCTGGAGATACCGCTTAGCTCAGGCAAACCAGTGGGAATAAAGCAGGTCCCAGAGATAGAAGGAAGCTGGTAGTGAAGCAGAAATGTTTACAAGAGGACGTAGTAAGGTGTGCAGTGGCAGTGGCACAGTCGAAGCAGGGTCTGTGGATGAACTGGGAAAGTGAAGAGAAGAGGGATCTTAGTTGGAGGGACCTGTGGAGTATCGAGGATGGTAGTATTAAAGTCCTGATAGGGGTTACTTACGATGTGCTGCCATCACCCCGGCTGTGTTCAGCAACAGCTACTTAAAGAAATATTCTGTCAGGCTGTAAGGATAGTCTGTCGCAAGCTCAATATACCAGGCAGCATAAGCGGGTTTAGAAAAGCTTAGCAGCAGGTATTGAAAGTTGAAGACAGCAGCTCAATTTAGGAGGTTACCATAAAAAGATTGCAGCGATTCAGTTGGTCTGTGAGGGAGATGTATATGGAGGGGGTCGATTTTTAGGCAGAGAGGAGTCACGCCAATTAAAGGATGTTAAGCATTAAGAAGCACTAATCCTGCAACACAAATGTCCACACTCTAAACACTCTGGTCTTCTTTTCATTGTATCGTTGACATTTATTCAATCTCCTCTCTTGTTGGACCAGGTGTGTTCACACTGAACCTGGTGTGTCGGGACTCGGTTTTGAGGAAAACGGTGTTGGAGCGAGTGAGCGCCGTGTTTCCCACCATCCTCTCCAGAAACATCGAGGGAGAAGTCAATGAAGTTCTCCTGTGCTCTCCCGGAGAAAAGGAAATGTCGGACGCCGCTCGCATCCTTCCATCGTTGAAGCAGGCGGGTCAGAGTCTGCAGGTCGCTTTGAGCTCTGACAAGTCCGGGAGCAGCAGGAGGCCTCATATAAACATTTCTGAGCTGCTGAAGGACATGAAAATAGAGTGAAGTTTGGTTGAGAAAGAGGGGAATCATGTCTAAGGACTGAATTATGAGGGTCTTTGACTGGGGCGTCTCCAGGATTTCTGGGCCCCATCAACAGATCTCACATTGGGCCCCTCCACCACAGCCTCAGTCAACCCTGACATTTTACTTTAACCACACCGCCGTAACACGAATGACCCGTTAAAGGTTTAAATTAAGGTGGACAACATTTTCTTCATTTAGCACATTTGTATCCCACGCATTTTTAAAACGACATCATCTCTTTTATTTTAATGATGGACACTATCAAAGCTATGCCTATTTCATTAGACAGGTGAATAAGAGGAAAAATGAATTTAACAAAAATTGCAGGCAAAATCCTGCAAACTGTCTGAATTTCACAAAAACATTGGCAACAATTACTGAAACGTGGCAACGTATTTGTGCACTGTAGACCGTGTGGAGGAGTTTTCTTGAAATGTTTATGAATTAAAAAGAACAAATCCAAACCAGATATTGGCGCCTTTGACTTCTCTTTCTGTTGCCTTGGTATCGATTGATTTTGACTAGAATCGTATAAGTCTGGTATTGTATTAATTGTAAAAATTTATTAAGATAACTATCATTTTGTGTCACACCCTTAAAAACTCCATTGCAGTATAAAGTAAACAATAAAACTGAATTACACTCTGATAGATCATCCTTTTGCCTTTGAATTGGTTTCTAGCATCCAGATGGTTTTTGAAATTTGAAATGTTTTTTTTATTTCAAGAGTTAAGAATGCGTAAGGAATCATGTTCATTTATCCTGCCTAATTTAAATTTACAATATATTGAGCACTGCAATGCTCAGTTAAGAAAAGCTAAAATTGTAAATCAGTTTACAAATCTGTTCCTAGGGTCTAAAATCTGTGCACACAGATTTCCAGTCTGTGGACAAAGTTTCCTTAACTGCACAATTTCTTTTTACTATGTTTTCAACCAGAGGTTTTCTTCAGGTGATAATTGTGGGGAAAAGTGGGGGCCACAACCATGTGGTATACATGTAGATTTCAACATCTGATCGGCACATACGCTGATACTATGATGGCAGGTGTGGTCAAACATACCACCGTGAAACACACCTATAACAATCATCTTTCAAATACGACACCAGAGAACATACAAGGTTACCATATAAAGGAAAACAATATATGTGTATTCTTGTATTCTTGTCTGAGCCATGTAGGGCTCTGTAACAGTGACAGAAATCAGAAATGCCTTAGAAACAAATCCAAACAAGAACTATGTATTTATTCCTTGGCTCCTTCCTTTGTTGGGACCATAAGTGCTCAGTCCCCCCCTCCCCCCAGTTTCTGACATTGGAATGAATGACACACTCTGCAGCATTTTATCACGTTTTACTGTATGTCTTTCTCAGTGATGTACTTTTTATTCCTCAGTTTCTCTTTCACTGTGCTGCTCTCCTGTCACTCTGTTTCTCTGTGCTCACTCTCTCACTTGCCAAAGAATGCAGGAGTGTTATTTACAGTAGATGGATGTGGATCTGGTTCTAGTTGCAGCTTGCATAGTGTGTGTGTGTGTGTGTGTGTGTGTGTGTGTGAGAGAGTGTGAGTGTGTGTGTGAGTGTGTGTGCCCTGCCCTGCCCTTACTCTTGATGTGTGGGATCTTAAATAGCTGAGTGAATGATCGCCTCGTGTCCTCGTGTCTGATAAGTCAGCCTACTTTCAGTATTGGCATGTCTGTCTAGCTCTGCATGTATGAGGCGGTTACCGAGTCAAACTTCACCACGCATGCGCAGAGCCGTAGATTCCGTTAGCTGTCATTGTTTTCCTCCTGTCGACAAACCGCGGAGAGCTGACCTAAAGCGTCCACAGAGGGTCCACTGACTTAGGGGGAGACACTTTGTCCACTTCTGCAGGCTTTAACGAAGCAGACATGTCGCTGACGAGCTGTTTACGGACACTTTACTAACTTCTGCCGACGGAAACAGACGTCACGCTGACGGTAACAGTGACTGACTAAACGGCTTTGGGGAGCAGCTGTGAAAGAAGCTGGCAACAGTTTAATTTAAAAGTTTTATCTGACTTTGTGTGTTTAAGTTATGATGCCACTGTCCGTGTGAGTTAGCTTACAATATGGTAGCCACCGTACAGACGGGTGTAGCCTAGAACCGGAGTCACGTCGGATCTAACAGCTGGACAGGCGGCGCCGTTGCGATGGGCAACCCCGGGATGGAGGAGCTGATCCCGCTGGTAAACCGGCTGCAGGACGCCTTGAGCAACGTGGGCCACAGCTGCAGCCTCCACCTGCCGCAGATCGCCGTGGTGGGTGGACAGAGCGCCGGGAAGAGTTCTGTGCTGGAGAACTTTGTGGGCAGGTAAGACCCCCCCCCCCACACACACACACACACACACACACACACACACACACACTCACACACGCACATCTTCTACCTGTTATCTGGACAGAGAGTGACAGAGAGCCATGAACAGGGTATCATCAGCCGACTAACATCTATGTAAGATAGCTAGATATTAACCTTGAGTCATATGTTTTTGCATTGAAGCTACTTTCATATCTCCATCTAACTAGGGCTGTGCATTTCTACAATTTCCACTGTGTGCTGGAGGTCTTCTGCAACTTTTGGTAATTAGCAACAAGAAAATTAGAAAAAAAAATACTTGCGTTAATACCTCGAGATAACTATATAAAATGTATTGGTGTATGTCCGCTTAGGGCTTCCGTAGCAGCAGGCATCAATATCGCTTGTTTTTCACCAGTGTTTTATCAAATTTTAAAATTGTGCGGAACCCAAAGTGGAGGTTTACAAATCAGAGAATTGCTTCTGTTTGATAAAGCAACTTTTGTTTTTGGTATATTGCAGCTCCTGTGAGGAACTTCTGTTCTGTGTTGATTTTGGCGCCTCCTGTGGACGAAGCAATCTTTTCTAATCATGTGATGTACGAGGGTTGTTGTCATGATACCAGAATGTCCAACTTTGATGAAATACTCGTAAAAATCAAACAATATCCTTACATGTTTCACCAAAATAGAAGTCTTAAGCCCCCAATAAGGGGTAATTTGTTGTTTTCAATCATCAAAATTGCAAGCAAACCCTCGCAAATTGTGGAAATTGCACAAATACGTTGGCAACGTGTCTGTCCCGAACTTTTGCCAACCTTTTTTGTGCAATGGAGACAATTTGCAGGACTTGACTTGCCATTTAAGTTGGACTCATTCCTCTACTGCACTCAACTAGACAGACTAGCATTTGTACATTCGTAAGGGGCCAAAAGAACGTTAGAAACATCAGAATTTTCCGCCTCTCTCTGTCTCTTGCAGCAGCTTTTAGTTTAAAATATGAATGAAGATCTGAATTGAATATGCACCACCAGTAGCTGTATCAGTCATTTGATTTTGAATTTGAAATTTAGCAGAAAGGTCCTTCTTCTTTTAACAAATATCAAAAAGAGTTTTTAATTGAGAGTTGAGAGATTTTGGCTACATGACATATTCCATATTTCTTCTGTCAGGTACCCTAGTGTGTGTTTACCTGCCTGTTTGTAACCTGTTTTTTTATTTTAACGTGGAACATGAGAACCCTGGTTCTCTATACTCTAGTATCCAGGTTTTGTGTCTGTCTTGTTCCTGATTTCTCACCATCTCAGGTTTTATTTGGAACCTGTTTAGAAACTTTGTTCCAGTGTGAACATTCAGTTCAGTATAGTTGTCTGGTGTTTTTCAAGTACTCGGGGTAGCATACCCAGGACACCTTAAAACCCTGATCAAACCCAGGAGATGACTGCAGATAAACACGCTCAATACCTCAGTGTGTACAGTGCTTAACATATCAGAAGTAACAGGTAGATTCTCAGTGAGCAGCGAGAGCTACAGGTAAGGAAATAACTTAATTTCAGAATCTACTGATAATAAACATGGTCTAGCTGTTGTCATTAACGGCTTAACTGTAAAGCACTTTGTGAATAGTAATAATACACTTCATTTATACAGCATTAACAAAATCACAGAGGGCTTTACATGGCTGAAAAAGAAATAATAATGAAGAGAATGAGGAGCAGACATGAGAAACAAGTGGAAGATTTTTGTCACTGGCTTTTATTCTTTACATGTGAAATGACTCTATTAGGGACAGCATTGAGGTAAAAAAGATTTTCGGAGGATTTTATTTAATTGTCATTTCGACAATAAAAGTCAAAGAAGAATTAGTTCATCTCTGGCCTTTGAATCTTATGTAATCATCTTAAGACTGAGGTGGATAAAATCAGGCCATTTCAATGATACAGGTTAAAACTATGTAAGAGATAAAGACTAATAAAAGACAGGAAATATTATAAATAAAAACCGTTCCTAGATTTTTTTTTAAAGATGTGATTTCAAAGCTGTCATTTTGCAGCTTCAGCTCTTCAGACAGAGAGTTTCAGATCTGTGGAGTGTGTCCGTAAAGACTGGGAGCCTCATTTATCCACGGTGCGTACGCATGGATCTGTGCGTAATGAGTGTGTAAGAACACGCAAAGAGTGGAATTTATCAACTTTTACTTTTACCTAGAAATGTGTGTAAATATAAGCACAGATCTGACCACGCTTATGCACAGAATCTAACAGTAGAACATTGAAACTACAAAGTATAGTGTCACAGCACAAGTAATATCAATAGCCACATATTCATAATATTAAATAGTATATTACATAGAAGTATTTTGGTCTCTTTGAAAGTGTCACTGAGGTATCTTAGTGTCTTTTAAAGGTAGTATTAAGATATATAAGTGTTGATTTTTTTTTTTTACCATCACTTTAATTTCAGCATGAATCTTACTTTGCCACTATAGTTGTATTTAAAATCCAACTACTGTAGGTTATTTGTAATGGGTAAAATATGCAATTTTAAATCATTTAACTTTTTTATTTGGTGATGGAAGGCATCTCGCGACACCCTCCCAATCCACACTTTACGATAGAGAAGACTCACTTAAAAGTGGGCGTGGCCGTTTTTCTAACAAGGAATGGATTTTTTGCAAAACAAATGTTTGCAATGGATTCAGCATCCTAAAAAAAACCTAGTTTGACCCCTCACAAGCTACCTAAGGCATAGGTTAACATTTTCAATTTTTTCACCAATAAGGTTTCAGGTAACCCGACTTTGAGCAGCTCTCACAGATTTTCCTACTGGAGTTGGATTTAAATCTTTTTATATGTGTTAGAAGACACCTGAACACATTTGTGAAGAAATTCTTCGTAAGGAATTTATTCCCAGATTTGCCAAATACTGATAAAATTCCCTCACTATGACTGTGGAATCAGGAACAGACAGCAAAGACCTACCCCATAGAGGAGCACACATTCAGCACCAAGGAAGTGCTCTGGCTTCTGACAAGAACCTGAACAAAGATTTCTGAGACCGGTTACAACATAAGTGTTTGAGGGACAAAATTCACCAATGACCCCTTTGTTAGAAACAAGAGAGAAGTTGTAACTGGAATGGAAATAGACATTTTTTCTGATTATTTATAAATATGATTCTGCAAAGTTGTTGATATGTTACATTATTATACAGTTGCACTGCAGCAGCTGAAGGTCTGAATGTTGCATTTGTCTGTGTGACAGAAACCAGCTCAGTACCTTATCAGAGGGGAACTGGGATCAGGTGCTGCAGGCAGCACAGTCTGAGCTCAACAATGAGATCTGTTCATATGACCTTTCCCACATTAAAAGACACTTAAGTACTTCAGTTACACTTAAAAAGACACTTAAATACTTCAGTCACACTTTAAATGAGACCAAAATACTTCAGTAACAACTTTAAAGAGTCTAAAATATTACAGTGACACTTTGAAAGAGACCAAAATACTTAAATCACACTTTTAAAGATACTTAAAAACTTCTGTAACACTTCTAAAAAGCCTAAAATACTTTAGTAACACTTTTGAATAGCGTGAAATACTTCAGTTAAATTTGAAAGAGACTAAATTACTGTCAGTAACACAGTTAAAGCAACAATATGCAGGAATTTGGTTTGTTGCGCTTTGGCGCCCACCAAAGGTCCTTGCATTCAACTGCACTGTTAAAACACACATAGTGCTGGGACCAGGTACACCTATACTACAGGTTGACAATCAGAGGGTGGAGAAGCCAAAGAATCATGTTGTCTGACAAGGTTCAGTAATATTACCAAATTTTGATCAAATATGACTCTGATAGCGCCTACAAGCCGTTGTTTGCAAACTGCTAGCATGTGGAGTATGTGTATGTGGATTCAACTGTTACCATGATGTCTATAGGCCAAGGCTAAATGGCTGGAGAGGTTATTTTATTGCATGCTAGTTGAGATTGTTAGTATAAGGTTCCAAACTTTTGAGGCTAACTTGAAGATCGACAAGGAAAGAGACGACTTTTTGGTGTAAAATGGATTAATTTCATTATTTGTTTTATCTCTTGGATTATCTCGGCCCGCCAAAGTTACATAGTGCTGAAAGCAGGCGAAGGGGCACTCTGAAGAGACTCAATTCTCCCTGATTACAGTTATTGTGCTATTATATTGAATTTGAAACAAATATTTTGAGGTGGAAACGATTGTTGCTTCAAAGAGTCTAAAATGCTGAGTGTGTCTCTTGATTAACTTTGTTCAGTTTGTAAAGTGCAGACAAAAAACAAAGCTGCAGAGTCTCTCTGTGTAACTGCTCATGTCTGATTTCTTGAACTTGTAATGATATTTAACATACATCTCGGCTTATTGTCTCACACATGATGATGTTATGACACCCCATCTGTGGGAGGTGGGGGGGTGGGGGGTGCCAGCTATTTGATCTGGGACAGGATGCTGGTAAATAAACTTCCTGAATGTGGTTTTAATAGGAAAGATGAAGATTATTGTTTTACTCAGCATGTTCTGTTTCTCTGAAGTGTGAAACTACAATCAGATTCTAGTCATCAGGTTCAACCTAAAGATCTTTCTGTTTTACATGACGATGGTTACAATAAAAAAGGACACCGCCATGTAAGTAATGTAAAGATAACTGCTGCTGCTCTCGATGCTTTAATGCAAGTTCATGGTGTTCAGATGATGTTTGCACTAACCTAAAATGTAGTAAACAGCACATAAAGAATCATTTGGTTTTCAAATATGAAAGTAATAAAAGCTTTTGTGATAGAAACTGAGTTTTCTGATTGCCTCTTGTTAGAGTGAACGTTTTCTTTATGTCCTTCTCTATGACAGGAAACGGAATGTTTTTGGATTGTGGAAAAGAAAAAATCAGTGACGAGGACGGAAACCTGGGTTTTAAAAACACTGATCCACTTTTTCTTTTTTTTTCTGACACTTTACAGACCAAACAACTCAAAGAAGAAATGATTTGATAAATGAGAATGTTAGTTGTCGGCCTATGGCAGCGTGTGTGTGTGTGTTTGTTTTCTTTGTTAGGTGTGTATTCTTCTCCACTTAAGTCGTCTTCCTCTCCCACAGAGACTTCCTTCCTCGGGGTTCAGGAATCGTCACTCGCAGACCGTTAATCCTCCAGCTGCTCACTGCTGACACGGGTAGGTAAGACTCACCATTGTTCACTGATGGTGTCTGTGTTTGTGTTTCAAGCTGCCAGCAGGTGGCAGTGTGATGTTTTACTGTGACTGAGCCTGATATCTCAAGTTAACAGTGCTACCACCACCACCAAAATCCTTCAGTGGATTAGAGTTCCTTATTTGATATCAGTTCCTTTTCTTTTTCATTCCAAAACCATCACCAGTGAACAAAACGATTGCTCTTTTCTTTTTCTCAATACTTGTCAATACTTATCTGATACCATGGCAACAATACGGGGTAATTTCTTGTTTTTGAATATCAGAAATTGCAGGCGAACTCCTGCTTGATGTCTAAATTGCACAAAATATTGGCAACATTTAAAAAACATGGAGTCATTCCTTTCCCACATACCTGTCTTTTAAAATGGATGTCGTTTTTTCATTTCACTACTTTTTGATACCATCAATAATAAAAAATAATGAAGATGTTCCGTTTGAAAACATGTGGTATCTAAAAGTATAAGAGTAACAAAAAGTTGGACAACCTTGTTATGCCCTTAAACAGACACTACAGGTCTGCCAAGCTAAACACCAGCATCATCAAATACACAACTTGTGTGTGTCGTCTGGTGGTCACAGCTGTTAAACATCTGCTGAAGAGAACAGGATGTAACTGATTTACATTATTTAAAGTTGAAGTAACTTCTTGGGAAAGAACAACTGAACTGAAAAAAAATGTAAAGACGCTAATTAAAGGATTAGTATGATGTTTTCTTGAGATACTCTCTGGACAAGAATACATGAAGACACATCTAATCACAAAAAAAACCTCCCAAACACTTTCTTTGTGTACCTTTAAAAAGCCTTTAATGTCAAAACAAGGTCATATAAGACCTTAAAACAAACGGACACAAGGTTAAGGTCAAGGTCAAGTTAATCTTTATTATCCCAGAGGGGCAATTTGTTTTACAGCCGGTAGTGAATAAAACGAGACAAAACTGAAAGACACACATAATTAAAACTGAAATACACACATCAAGGGGGGAGGACTCACATGATGCTGATGAGGAGACCAATGGTACCAGGGACAAATAAGTAATGAATAGATGTTGATATGATGCTCTACAGATAAACTAGACATTATTAAATCCCATTATGTATCTGTCACTGCTCCTCTGACTGCAGAGTATGGGGAGTTTTTGCACTGTAAGGAGAAAAAGTTCACAGACTTTGATGAGATCCGTGAGGAGATCGAGGCCGAGACTCGCAGACTGACCGGATCTAACAAAACGATCTCGCCTGTCCCCATCAACCTGCGCATTCATTCCCCTCAAGGTAACACTAGGTAACAAAAATCCACTGTGTTCCTGTGACACATGAAGACCTGCGAGCTTATCTCCTCTGCTCTGCCTCTGCAGTGCTCAACCTGACTCTGGTGGACCTGCCGGGCATCACCAAGGTCCCTGTAGGAAACCAGCCGGCCGACATCGAGTATCAGATCAGAGACATGATCATGCAGTTCATTTGTAAGGAGAACTGTCTGATTCTGGCTGTCACACCTGCAAACATGGACCTAGCCAACTCTGACGCCCTCAAACTCGCCAAAGACGTCGACCCGCAGGGTGAGGAAGCAGCAGAGGCTGATTTAAGGAGATTCACTATCACATTATCACATTCATTCTTGATGCCCAAAAATGTGTCATCTTCCTTTAGGTCAGCGCACCATCGGTGTGATCACGAAGCTCGACCTGATGGATGCAGGAACAGATGCTCGGGAGATTCTAGAGAACAGGCTGCTTCCCCTGCGCAGAGGTGTGTGTGTGTGTGTGTGTGTGTGTGTATGGATGGGTTGGTTTTTGTGAGTGTGTAGTGCTGTATGCTGTCTTTTAAATATCAGTATGAACAGCACAAGTCCCATTGAATCTGAATATTCAGTTATGGGCCTTAGCCTCTTAAAACTTTGGTCCGCAATCAGACACAGTTGTGGTTATTTTCAATGTGACACCTCGGTGTGTAATGAGATTTGTTCATAACTCTACATCAACACTTATTACTGTTCTGCTGTAGTGCTTTCCGATTTAGTTAAATTAGTCATTGTGATCCTAAAATGTAGTCTGATGCTGTTTCTTTTAAGCTTTTCACATCCTGATCGCACTACTCTTTGATTCATGTTCACACAGAAGAAGCAGCCACTGATCTGATTAAAAGTTATCTTCTTGGACATGACATGATTTTATTAGTGGAACTGTACACGCTTACTTCAGTGGCCCCCATGTTGACTTCTGTATCACCATGTGCTCTTTGTGATGTCTGTGTGACTGTTTCACCTGCAGGTCAGTGCAGATCCAGATCACACTTGAGTCTGATGTTGAACAGATTTTAAAAAAACAACATATACAGCCGAACAAACACTGAAGTATCAGATATAAGTGTGACACTGTGAGCTCAGAGCATCCTGCAGCTCCTGAGGTCAGTCTGAGTAAAGCTGCACCAGGTGTCTCCTTCATGCTTCTCCTGCAGATATAATTCATTATCCACGGAGACACAGCGGAGGGACTGCTGGGGAGCAGCTCAGAGCTGGAGCATTAGATATGGATAATGATGCTCTCACTGAACTAAACTGAGGAATTCGAACCCTGCGCACAACCTGTTTGTAGGCTGTGGTCTGACAGCAGTCTGGGATCTCATCTGACAACATGTCAGAGATTAACCTGACATCTGAGTCAGATCACACACTCCTCACTTCCTCCTCCTCTTCCTCCCTCAGGTTACATTGGGGTGGTGAACCGTAGTCAGAAGGACATCGAGGGGAAGAAGGACATTAAAGCCGCTCTGCTCGCAGAGCAGAAGTTCTTCCTGTCACATCCGGCCTACAGACACATGGCTGACCGAATGGGCACATCGTATCTACAGAGAGTACTAAACCAGGTTACAAACAAACACACACACACACACACACACACACACATATACATACAGAGACATAAAGACAATGTGTGTGTTTTTTACTGAATATGTTGGTTTGCAGCAACTGACAAACCACATCAGAGACACTTTGCCCGCCGTCCGGAGTTTGCTCCAGGATCAGCTGCTCGCTATGAACAGAGAGGTGGAGGAGTACGGACAGTTCAGTCCTGACAACCCGGCACACAGGACCAAGACTCTGCTACAGTCAGTGTGTCTGCATCTCAGTGTGAATGTTTACTGTCTTTAAGTGAAGTATACCTCATAGCCTGTTTGCTTATGTGTCTCAGGTCGGTTCAGCGTCTGTCTGTGGACTTTGAGAAGCTGATCGAGGGTTCAGGAGATGAAGTGGACACTGTCAACCTGTCAGCAGGAGCTCGGATCAACAGGATCTTCCACGAACGCTTCCCTTATGAGCTGGTCAAGGTGTGTGTGGGATTTTATGCATGTATCATCATTTATACTGTATGTGCATCAATAAATAAGATCGTAAACAGCGACTCTGTTTGTGTTCAGATGGAGTCAGATGAGAAGAAGCTGCGGCAAGAGATAAACTACGCCATCAGAAACATCCACGGAGTCAGGTGCTGTCAGGTGTTTTCAGGAAATCAAGAGTTTTTACATAATTTATAATTCAGCTTGGACTGTTTCCCTTTTCCGTTTTAAAAAAAAAAAAACCTGTTACTTTTCTATCTTTGTCTCCTCCCGTGTCTGTGCAGGACAGGTCTGTTCACTCCTAACATGGCCTTTGAAGCCATCGTGAAGAAGCAGATATCGAGGTTAAAGGGGCCGTGTTTTAATTTTGTTGATATGGTCGGTCAGGAACTAACCAGAACTGTGTACCAGTGTATTAACAAGGTATAAAAGTGTGTTTGTGTGTGTGTACTTGTGATGGCGCTCTCCATGTGCAGGTGTCTCATATCTAACCTGTGAACTGTTTCCTCTGCAGCTCAGCTCGTTTCCTAAACTGCGTGGTGAGACGGAGAGACTAGTAACCACGACGATACGGGAGCAAGAGAGTAAATGCAGGGATCAGGTCACTCAAACACAGCTGGACATTACATTCATGTGGTAGACTGTTTATAAGAAGTGGGTGTGGCCCTTTGCCACCATGTTTGTAGACTCCTCCCCCTTTTTTGCCTTGGCATTTTGTCCTTCTCTATATTGTTATATTGGAACCATGAAAGACAGAGCGGACAAGCATAGTTTAGTCTCTCTCCTGCATGACATGTTACCATGGTAGCAACTTGTCAATCACAGATAGCCCCGTCCTAAATCCTCCCCTGCATTCTGGTCTGTTTGCCTGTTAATGGGACCATATTCTACAAAATGAGCATCAAGTGGCTTTAGAGGGAAACCCTCACTCCTCTCGAGCTCCACCCTCTTTTCCAAATAATGTAATTTCCTTGGCCAAAGCGATTGTAGCACTTCTTTATACTTTTTTTATATAGTCTGTGAGTCCCTCATGAGTATTTTTTCTTGTTCATGTAAACGTGTATTTCTGCTGTGTTTAGGTGCTGCTGCTCATCGACATCCAGCTGGCCTACGTTAACACCAAACATGAAGACTTCATCGGCTTCACTAAGTGAGTGACGCTTGCCTTCACCTGCTCCTCTCATGGTCTCATTTCAAAATGTGGAAGGGATATTTAAAAGTTTAAGGTCTTACCTGTATGGGTTTCACAATCCCAGAATTTTAAACTTCAACACCATTCTAGTAAAAATCTAACAGTATTGATACCTGTTTGATACCACAGCAAGTAGAAGTCCTACTATATCGTCTTATTTATTGATTTTAAATATCAGAAATCGCAGGAAGACTCACACACTCTCTGAATTGCACAAAATTATTGCATCTTGCTCAACGCAAAATGTTCAAAACAAGATAAAAGATGTACACACAAAAGGTGAGGAAACCAGGCACTCCAAACATGAAGGATGTAAAAATGATGAAGGAAGTACTGACAAGGCATTTATTATAATGGCTAAATCATTTAAAAAGCCAACATGTTTTAACCATTAAAACACTTTTTCCATTTTTCCATCTACTTTGACCACATTGAGCTACCAGTCACCAACCTTTGATTAAGACAAAAGCTGTGCTTTAACTTTTACTCTTCATGTTATTAAGAGTGACTTCACAATTTGCTCTAGTCTGATAAAGTTGCTAATACAGGAAGAGAGATCGAGGGCAGAACGTTGTAGTAATCGAGCCCACATGGTGTTTATCTCTCAGATTGATAAAATGATAAAAATCAAAAAGCCGATGAATATGTTGGCATGTTGGCATGCTGTGGACGGTTGTATGATCAATAGCGTTTGACGTCAAAGCACAATTAATAAGTGTACTTTTTTTTTTCTGTGATTACTTAATCTTAATGTGTTATTTTGAAAGCTCTCATTCTGGCTAACTTCTCGTTTGTTTAAATCTAGAACATGAAGTATAGATTCTAACAGAATAAATAACAAGCTTTTCCTCTCAGCGCTCAGAGGACAAACAACCAAAACAACCAGAAGACCGCCTCAGCAGGAAACCAGGTGAGACCTGCATTCAGGTTATTGTTCCTGTGTAAGCAAACACTGTTCAGAGGTATTAATGCATTAACATCAACATAAACCATTTTAGTTCATCTTCATTAAGTTAAGATAAAATATGTTTTAATGGACACAAAAGGCTAATTTCTATCAAACGTCTGATACTCTCTTTAAGAGTTTTCAGCTGGTTATGAACAGACTGAAATGAATACTGATGCTTCTATACGAGCTATGAAAGCAAACTAGACCATCAGGAAGAAGATAGATTATTTGGATGAAATGAGGGGGAAGTTAATGGTTTTTTACCTTTAGAAAAAAGAAGAGAGAAAACAGTGTGATTGCAGCTTTGTTGATAGAGTCTCTTTAAGAAATTGGGACTGAAACAGGAAAGTCTGTGGACAGTTCAACTGTTAACTTAATATTACAATGATATCTGATACCACAGTGACCTTTGTCTTACTTCGCTCATACACTCTTGGTCTTAACCAGTCCTTATACAGAATCATCTTTGTCAAAAAAAGGCAGGTTTCCCTGAAATCTTCCTCAGTTGCTTGTTCACACATGCACTGCTCAGCAGGAGACTTTTCCTGTCGAACAGGAGGAAAATGAACCTCTTTGCAGTGAATTTTACTGAATGTTTCCTGCGGTGTTCTCACATTAGCTCACCCTGACTTCACATGGAAAATGGCTGGCAGGAAAAAGTCTGTGTGAAGTCAGAGTGAAAATCTTCGGCTGTTTGTGTGTGCTCACTCATGCAGCTCTGAGTTTTGTGCATGTGTGAACCGGGCTTTAGGTTAATTTCTTTTTAGATTTTGTCATTAAAACAATCTTTTCTTAAATTATTATAAATGCAGGACTTAACAATTCAAAAGTGAACATTTCCTGCCTGTGGTTCTCTGCAGGGTGTGTGTTTCTGAACTTAATTTATTTGAATATCTTTGATGTCACCGCTTCATGTTGTTAAACATTAATCATCATGGATAGCTGCAGATAAATGTGAGCACTCTGTGATTTACAGCCCAGTCATCACAGAGCTGATTTTGGCTCTTTACAGGAATGCACTGGTGATTTAGATGAATATGTACGATAATACTAGTGTGACGCAGTGACAGCAGGAATAATCAAACACACACAGAGTCAGTATGTTTGTGATTAATCAAGAATGTTAATGTATGGTGGTGTTTGTTAAACAGCAGCACATTCAAACCACAGCTGTATTAGTTATTCATTATCTCATGTTGTTGTAAACTATAAAAAGATCTTTATCAGAGTTCAAATGTAAACCTTCATGTTAATATGTCTCCTTTATCTCTTGTTTGTCTGCAGGGAGTGACCCCTCTATCCAGCCTCATAGTAGGAGCTCTGTCTCTTTAATTCTCTCTCTTTCTCTCTCTCTCTCTCTCTCTCTCAGGCTGCAGCGGTGTCAGCATGACGACAGCAGATGTGCACATCTACTAAATGTTGCAGCTTCATTATCTTTATCATTTTCTGCAGCTGATGGTTTGCTGATTTTTCTCCTCACTAGAGGTGTGACTTCTAAATGTTTTAATGCTAAACATTTAGAAAAACACTAAACTTTTCCTAAAATCACCAACTGTTTAAATGTAAATTCGTTTTTTGTTTTTCTTTACGTGGTAACGTGCTCATGTCACTGCACAAAGCACTCCTCAACGTCGGTGTATATACAAGAGGTATTTATGGACAGTGGACCTTATTGTGCCCTCTGTCTCTCTCTCTCTCCGCTGATGTGATTCTGCACGCTTATCCCTCAGCGGGAGTCAGCAGGGAATTTTTTTTTAAACAGGAGCTTTGAGGTTCTCGCGCGTCAGCACTCTGCTGCACGCTGTCTTGTGCACGTAGCAATTTTATAAATAAATGAAAAATTAAATAAAAACAGGTAGAATATACTTGGGCGGCCCATGTATCGTCTATGCGTGGGAACCACTGCGTTTATTTAACAAGCCGGCCACCGGCGTAAGCCTTAATGTTTGAACGTTTTTGGGGCCAATGTGTAAACGTTTAGCAATGTGGTCACTTTTGCACACCAGTACTCCTCAGGCTGCAACATTTCTCTTTCTTGTTCAAAACAATCATCCTTACTTTCAACAGTCCCACTGCTCTAAGCATGTGTGCAGACTTTAATACTTTTCTCTTCTCAGGATGAACAGTTCATGTCTTTTTGGGGAATCTTTATTACATGTCAACCTCTGTCACTAGATTAATTAAACTCTTGTCCTAAAGTTTCTTTCACCCTTTTTTGTCTTTAATTGTTTGATTAAATTTGTCCTTCTTCTTTTGTTTTTGCATATCTTCTTCTCCTCTGTCACTTTTGTCAACCTGTGGTCAGGAAATCGTTTCAAATCTGTCTGCAAAGATCTGATTGTCCCCTCCAATGTAAACTGTTTCTGTTGTTTCTGTTGTTTCCGTTGTTTCCTTTCCTTCGAATCAGCAGGCTGCTCTCTAAGTGTGTGGCATTCTCTGTTTGGCCTTCAGAGGAGTTACACGATTCAAACTTTGGGTCCATGATCCTATGTTCTGCAGGTCATACGTAAAGGCTGGCTCACCATCAGCAACATCGGCATCATGAAGGGCGGAGCCAAAGAGTACTGGTTCATCCTGACTGCAGAGACACTGTCCTGGTACAAAGATGAAGAGGTGAGGCATCACACTACGGTGGCCCTGAAGGTTCACTTGCAAAAGCACTTCACTGAACACAAAAAAAAAATCTCAATAAAATGGAAAAAAAAACAATGCTAAAATATTTACTAAAACGCCAAAAAATATTTAACAAAATGCACGAGTATAAAAAATGTAAAGCAAATAATCATTTATAAAATGCAGAAATAAGTGTTAGTGTGTTTTGTGTTTATCAAATGTTATTGGGTTTCAGATTAAGACAGAGCAGGAGTTAGCTTGAACTTTTTAATTGTTCATTCCTGTCCTCAGCGCCTGTCTTATTAGGGCTGGGAATCTTTGGGTGGCTCACGATTCGATTCGATTCTTGGGGTCACGATTCGATTCAGAATCGATTTTCGATTCAAAATGATTCTGAATCCATGGATTCAAAGACTATTTATGAATTCAGGATCTACTCCAGTCATCTGTGAGACTGGCTGAATTTCTTGAAAGAGCTAGCTTTAGCACTTACCTATGTCTTATAAAAGCTTCATTGCTTTTTGATTCTGTTGATCATTAAAATGACAGAGATCGTATCATTTTAAAACATGTAGTATTGGAAAGTATTGAAGAAGTGAAAATATCAACTAATTCACAAGGTGGAAATTTAGTGCTTCAGGTTGCCATTCTTGTAAACATAGAGGATGAACTTTGAGCCCATCAATGCATTTTGATCTTTAGACAACAAAAAGGGGAAAATCTGAAGAGGCAGAGAGAAAATGTCTGTGTTAAAAAACACATTTGATAACCTCTAACAGAACAATTTGATCGTATTAAAACAATACTTATTCTGACCCAACGGTCATGGAATAGGTTAAATGTAAGTGCTCACTAATGTCCTACGAAAGCATTCAACAAATTCTCATCAACAACAAAATATATTTCATAATAATGATATTATACTATATATATTATTTTTCAAAGCTTCTGTATCTTTTTATTCTATCAATTATTAATATAAAAGGTTTTATGTTAAAAAAGCATGATATCCAAAAGAATAAAAAATATAAAAATATTATGCATGCATGTCTCCATTAAATTAAAAAACGTTTTATTTACCTCAAGACATCAAATTATTGTGCTGTTTTGTCAAATAGTGTCTTAAAAAATCCACCATAGAGTTCTATGAGATGTTGAACCTGTTGATCCATAGGATCGTGTTGAATAAATCCAATCACACTGACATGTATTGCATAGTTTTAAACTAAATAAATAAGAAAAGAGTGAAGTCCAAACACTGAATACTCTTCAGTCATGTCAGGTTTATTAACACACACGTCAGCCTCACACAGCGGGTCAAACATGAGTCATGTCAGGTTTATTAACACACACACACACACACACACACATCGGCCTCACACAGCGGCTTAAACAGGTTGATGAGGGTTCATTAAGTGCTGATGTTGTTGTCCGGGGTTGAAGAGTTGGTGTGTGTTCTGGTGTCAGTGGGGCTGCCATCTGTCTGCCTGTCTGTGCCTGCTGTACAGGAGCAGAAGGTCTGCACAGCAAGTGTAGACAGGCAGACACATCACAACAGTCTCCTCGTCCCGTCACAGCTGAGAGGCAAACATAGACAGGAAGGGATGTCACATCACTGCATTCGTCTTTAGATTTTAAACTTCTTGTGGATGATTATAAGTTGTATATTGTTGACAGAAATGTGGAGTGGTTGATAAGAATAACATATATTGTCACAGATGACTTCTTCACGCTGAAATCTCTCGATTGCATTGTCAAGCTTTTATTTGAACTTCGATATGGGTCTAGTGAATATGAAAAAAAATTGATATTGGTTTGATACCACAGCAACAAAAATATAAGTCCTATGAAGCAAATATTGTGTAATTTCTTGTTTATAATTACTAAAAATTGCAGACAAACTCCTTCAAACTGTTTAAATTGCAAAAAAAAACGTTGCCAACGTTTCTGTACCGATATTTTTCCAACGTATTTGTTCAATTTAGACAGGCACACAAAGGACTATAGACACATCAGAGTTTGCCGACCTGTGAGTTAACAAAAGTTTAATCCCTGGGTATTAGAAATTGTGTAATTTATTGTTTGTTATTACCAAAAATTGCAGAATTCTGCACACTGTCTAATTTGCACAAAAATGTCTGCAATGTTTGGAAAAGTTGGAGGAGCTGGAGAGGACCCACTTTTACAAACATTGCCAACATATTTGTGCAATTAAAGCAGTGCTCTCTCTCTTTTGGAGCAAAAAAATGTGACTGAAGATCTGTAATTTTTGAAAATATTGGCCGTGAAAATAACAGACTGTATCGAAAAGGTATCTGAAAGTATTGAACATTTTTGAAAACCTACAAGATTTAAGTGTTAAAAGGGGAGACTGTTTTTTTAACAATAGCAACTTTGACTTCCTCTCCTCACACCTGGACCCCCCCCCCCCCCCTCCATTCCTCCCATTGGTCCCGCTCTGCACTCACTCTTCCCCTTTACTCCCCCTTTTCTTCCTCTTCTGGGAGTTGAGGCATTTGGAGCGGCTCACTCTGACACAGCTGGAGCTGCCCCAAGCCAAACTAACACACACACACACACACACACACACACACACACACACACACACACACACACACACACACACACACACAAACAGTTTGAGAGACTGGTATATACAGTGTACAGTACTCATGCAGAGTCAGATATAAACAAATGGTGGAGACAAATATACAGTTACACACAAACACACACTGCACATAAACACTGGATGGTTTAACCACACAGCCTCAGGCATACACACACATTGTTATAGTTGAACAAATCAGCTCACACACACACACACACACACACACATATATTTAACACATGTGATAAACGCCACACAGACAGACGTGTAAATAACGTTGCGGCCACATCAGAGCGATACTTGGGATCATTATGACTCACAAATGTTTCACAACACTTGAAGTCTAAGGTTTTTGGACTCGTCGTGGTTTAACCTCGTCACTGAAAGGTTTATCAGCTGATCAGAGGCCTGAGCGCAGAGTCAGTGAGCCGTGTGATTACAGATGATCAGATGTGATGTGTCTTTATCATCATCTCATCATCTCTCATGAAGTGAACACTCACACACTTCTTCTCCCTTTTTCCCGCTTTCCTTCTCTTTTTTTTTTATCACCGCCTCCCCTTTTTTATTTTATTTTTTTTAAACTCCTTTGCCTTTCCTCTTGCCTTTTTCTCCCCCCTCTCTCTCTCTATGTCTCCCCCCTCTCTCCCCCTCTCTCCCCTTCTCTCTCTCTGTGGTTGGCAGTCTCCCTGGGACTCTGCACATTCCTGGCTGGAAAATCTGAAGCTTTGTCCAAACACCAGCTTCCAAGATCTGCCCAGAGAAATCCCACATGGCTGTTTCTACGCTACAGACCTCCCCTCTCTCCTCCACAGTCTCTCTGACTATTACTCCCATATCAAACTACTTCTCTCCATCTCTTTGTCTTCTCCTGTCGTTTTACCATCTTTAAGCTCGTGCACTGCGTCTCTCTCCACTCACGCTGACCTCACGCTGAGAGAGCAGAATAACAGTTCAGAGTTTAACGTCCAGAGCACACTGAGCAGACATACATTCCTGCACCCCTCCACTGCCAGAGCTGAAGAAAAACAGATGGCTCATGCCTACACACTCAGTCTGTGTGAGTCTGTGTGTGTGTGTGTGTGTGTGTGTGTGTGTGTGTGTGTGTGTGTGTGTGAGGCCTGAACCACATTCACATCCATTAGATTAAAACAGCAGATCTGATCTACAATGCTTCAACACCACCCTGAGACACCCACATTAACTCAACTGTACGCACAATCACACAGATGCACATGCAGAAATCCTAACTGCCAAGTTTGATGCACCCTGAAAAACTTAAGCCAGACGTTTTCTGAAAATAAATGTGTGTAAAAGAAGCAGGTTTGAAATATTTCAGTCCTACATGTTAAAATAAATTTCCAACTCAGGATCAAATTTTCTGCATGAGCACTTCTCGTCCTGAATGCAAACAAAGATAAATGATTCAAACAGATGTCACTACGCAGGACAAAGATGGGAGTTAGTGATGCATTTTGGATGGTGAAGGCGGCGAAAGAGCATGCATTAAGTTTTATGCGTCTGTGCCTATTGCGTTCATGCGCTCATGAGAGTTGTAGATTGAAGAGTACATGCAGGTTTCTTGAAGTTCTTCCTTGCACAATCTAACCAATGTGCAGACTACTGTACACCAGTAAGATCCTGAACAGGTAGTCTGAACACTGGGATGACGGAGCAGGACTCTGATTCTCCAGCCGGCCTCGTCTTCTCCCACTCAGGTTCTTGTCCTGCATGAGGCGGAGGAGAGTCTGGAAAAGTTTTCCGCTTTTATTTTCTTCTTTATTTTATCCCGTGTCAGTGTTGGGTCTTGGTCGAGGGGTCTTGCCCACAACAGACGTCTTCTCCTGTGGGTGTCCCTCTTGATGTTGGTGTTTGTAGAGTCGAGCGTCCAGCGCTGTGTCCGGCGTAGTATCCAGTCTTGACGTGGCACTTTCACTCATTCGGTTCAGGATCTGCGCGCTCACTCAGGGAAGGCGTGAGGAGACTTGGGGAGTGAAGTAAGGAGAGAGAGTCAGGGAGGGACTGAGCCACCATATATGGGTTGATGGGACCCATGGGGACTCAACTTTGGACTAGTGTGCAGTTTCCTCCAGTTTCTCCTGCATGATCTCTCGTGCTCCTCTCCTCTATCCACCTATATCCCTCCTCTTTCTCTTTTCTTCATCTCTACTTTCTATTTCTACCCCATCACAGCACCCTGCCCGCCCCCCCCTGCCCATACTCCTCCCCTTTCGTCCAAAGCGATCCCAGATGTTGCCGTAAGAGCGCCAATCCCGTTCTGTCATTTTTTTTGAGCCTCTCTTACAGGAAGTGGGCCCCTTTGGAAAAAAGGAAAGAGGAATGAAGGAAGAGAGTCGTAGGGTTCAGGGGAGCACAGACAGAGGGAAGACTGACACACATGCGCAAACACACACACACACACACAGACAACATGCAGGGCGTTTTGGACATCCTCTTTTGCAGGCATTTCTTCCTGTTTCAAATTTTCCCGCTCTGCACCTCCTCCTTTAAGGGGCTGTCATAGTACCAGATTTTCAAACTCCAATATGATTCTAGTAAAAATCTAATGATATCAATACCTGATTGGATACAGCAAAAAAAAATTGAGGTCCTGGACACCAAAAATTTCGTAATTTTCCTGTCAAAATTGCACAATAACATTTGCAGTGTTTTACAAGAAATTTACAAGAAATTGCAACTCCTGCACACTGTCAACATATTTTTGCAATTTAGACAGCGCTATCTCTCTTTTGGTTAAAATATGAGATCTGAAGATTTCTTAAAGCTTCAGTACTTTTTGATGATTTGATCGTTAAAAATAACAGAAACCTTACCGTTTTAAAACATGTAGTATCAAAGAGTATTTAACATTTTGACAACCTTTCCTCCGTTTATGTTTTTCAAATCTCTCCTGAAGCCCCCTCCTCAGAGTGCAGCGCAAGGGAGCAGGCCGTAGAGCAAAGATTTGAGGGGGGGGAGGGCTCCACTTTAGGAGAAATGTTGTGTTAGAGTTTGAGTCTGAGTAATGACTTTCACATGTGAGCCTCCCTCCCTTCCCTCTCTCCCTGCTCGCCTCCTCCTTACTCGGCCTCCTCACTGTCTGCGTCTCCTCCAAACGCTCTCTGTCGTTCATGAGTCCCCGTGGTGATGACAGGCTGGAGACTTATGGCATCTCCCCTCCTCGTCCTCCCCCTGGCTGGTTGGTCTGTAGATAATGTGAGTCAGTGTGACGGGCCGACACGTCGTCTGATATGAACTCAGATGCTCTCCCGCTGACATTTCTTTTCTGCAGCTGAACCCTTTTGGCAGCTCCATTATTATAATATTAGCCGTATATTTCAACTGCAGCCCCCTGAGTGTTAGGTGTTTGATTTGTTTTTTTGCTCTCCGCACCTGTGTTACCTCTGTGTGATGTCATATTTCACCCTGCATACCTGTGTCAGACGGTATCTCTGTGTGTTCTCAGGAAAAGGAGAAGAAGTACATGCTCCCTCTGGACAACTTAAAGCTCAGAGACGTAGAGAAAAGCTTCATGTCGAGAGAGTTCGTCTTCGCTCTCTTCAACACAGAGCTCAGGTTGGTGTGTGTGTTTGTGAGTCAGAGAAGGGAATTGTGTTCTTGTCACCTGCTCGCTGAAGGTCCAGTGATATTTTACGTGGAAGGAGGAAAGGGAGGAGATGTCAGTGATGTCCTCCCTGCGACCTCCTCCTTTCAACTTTGACTCCTAAGCTGAGCGGATATCCAGTGGGTGAAGCAGTGGGCGGAGCTAAACAGCATGCCAGGCTGCTGAGGGCAGTGCTGTGTGTGTGTGTGTGTGTGTGTGTGTGTGTGTGTGTGTGTGTGTGTGTGTGTGTGTGTGTGTGTGTGTGTGTGTGTGTGTGTGTGTGTGTGTGTGTGTGTGTGTGTGTGTGTGTGACAGATCGAGAAACACACACAGACAAAGCATCAGAGAAAGAGAGAGGGTTTAGGAAGGCTGGCTGACTGTAGCAGAACATGTGGGCTTTGTTTATAATTCAGCTGCATTCAGACACACAAACCAAACCTATGTGTGTGTTTGTGCATGTATGTGTGTGCGCGCGTGTGTGTTTCCATGTATGTGTGTGTGCGTGTGTGTTTGCAGACCACAGCATACCGACGGCAGGCTCATTAAGCAGCTAATCAAAGCCAGAGAGTTGGATCAGAGATGAGGCAGCTCTTGTTTGGAAAGAATTGCTCGACTCACCACAAGAAATGGGGAGTGGGGATATGGCGTGGGGGGGGTGGGGAGGCAAGTTGGACGATGGGGTTAAGGAGAGAGAGAGAGAGAGAGTATCAGAGCCATCAGCCAGGAATGTGTCAGACTCAGTCCTATGGCGCCCCCCTCCTTTTCCTGCAACCTCTCTGTTTCTCTTTCTGTGTGTGTGTGTGTGTGTGTGTGTGTGTGTGTGGGGGGGGGGGGGGGGGAAACAGACATTGCAGTGGTTTTGTCTGACAGAAATCAAAAACCTCAGGAAACTCTTCACATCCAGACTGTAAGTCAGTGCAGAAAGAAAAGAGTCAGACAGAGTGTCCACGAGAAACAAAGAGTTAATGTAAGCGTCCCGTTCTCGCTGTAATAGCGCTGTAGTTTTGTCATGTTTGGCTCGACTCCTCTGTTAGCCACCACACCCTGACTTATTAGCCTCACCCAACTGAGTCCAGCACAATCTGACAGTTGGTTCTTCAATTTTGTTCCTAAAGTCTTTTCCTCTGTTTCCCTCTCTCGTTCTATCTCTCTCTCACACACAAACACTCACGCAGAGGTTTCACATATTTGAGGTTGATCGCTCTGTGTTCTGAACGTGAGAAGCGAACTACAAAAGGAGGAAAGAAACAACGGAGTGATTAAAGAAAAATGTTTAACAGATGGGCCGCAGCCCGCTCCATATACTCCGCTTGTTTCTGATTCTGCTGCTCCACAGAAGAGAGCAGGGATGGAAGGATGATGATGGTGAGGAGAGGAGGAGAAAAAGAAAGAGAGAGGAGACAGAGAGAGGGGGGGAGTTGTGTGAAAACAGATGATGGAGATAGAAAGAAACGGTTTTATTGTGTGTCTAAATGTTTTTGTGTGTGAATCTCTTGTACTTCTGTTTGTCGTTTGCATTTATTCTTCTTTTTGTGTGTAAATAATGCTACCAAATTCTGGGAAGAGCAGAGCTGTAAAAGCTCTTTCACTATTAAGGACCTGTGTTCAGTCTGTTGTCAAGCACTTTTACACTAAACCCTCTGACTTTTTTCCCCTCGATCAGCCGTTCACTCACTATCCAGGAATGAGACCCAGGTCATTGAGTGCATGGTTTAGATACATTACACCAGGATGCACTATTCTAAGTCAGTCGTTTTAGATTTTTTGCTTTTTGCCTTTATTTAGATAGGACAGTAGATAAAGAGAGTGGGGAACGGCATGCGGGAAAGTAGCCACAGGCTGGACTTAAATCCAGGCCGCCCATTTGGACTATAGCCTCTTATTGATTCTTGATTCTCATATTTTTTGGAGAGTAAAAAGAATAAGGAATATTTCACAAACATAAATGAGGCGACCTTCATTGTTGGTACTTTAAGGCTCTCCAGAGTGCACTGTCAACTGTGATTTTTATTTTACCCTTTCATATTTAAAACTCAATATTACTCTTTCTTATTAGGAGAGATCAACAAAAATAATTAAAAACAAAACTATTTACATATTTAATGGAAAAATATTTCAAAAATATAATAGAATATTTTTGGTTTCATAATCGATGTTGTTAGTTATTCTGTTAGCAGTTTCAGATGTGCTATGATTGCACAAATATCAAACAAGGTTAAAATCTTTGGATGTTACTTTGAAAAAGTAGATATGAATAAAGTAATTTGGAGACCTAATTGATGCTGACTTGACAGGGACAATGGAGTTTAACCCCTTCACCACAAATCTTCTGACATCCCTCCTCCTTTCTCCTAATTCACTCATCACTAGAGTGAGTTTCTGCTCTTCAGGGAGGAGAGGTGCTCTCTGAACTCTTATCTGAGAAAAATATACGTTTGAAATATGTAGACTACTGAACCTTAAATGCTCCATCATATTGGATGTGTTACACTTTGTTGTATCATTGTTGTTTTTTTGTGTAGCTCATACCGCTCTTTGATCACCTGCTGCGATCCTCTTTTCACAACTTCTTTTTACATACTTGGTCACAAATGACGTAATGTATGTCAGTACAGCAGGTCCTGGCAGATAATACAACTTTTATGGATGGCAAGATTCTCACCGGTTCAATCCTGAAAGATTTAAGTTGTTGTTTGGAACAGAAAAGAGAAAAAAGAGAAAATCTAATCCACCAGTCTCAGAAATAATTTTATACCCCACCCTACTATTAGTTATTCAGCCCCAAAATATGTTGTGAAACAGGCCTCCAATAGCATTCAGAATTAAAACCTACACATAACATAAACTCACAAAAACAAGGTAAAGGCTTTTTTTTCTACAGTTCAAACTGAAAGGAGCTTATACCTCGTAAAATAATGTAAGACCACAGATTACTGTGCTGCTCTTTTATGATCAGGAATGTTTGAGTTCACAGAAAGCAGCTTTCCAAGAACTCGTGCAGAAAGGGAATCTCGAGCTGAGAGAAGAGAACAAACATTAATCCTCCATGTTGTTTGTGGTACCGTTATTTTTAACTCCTCGACACTAACTGATAACAGCTGATTGGAGTCTTATCAGATGTGACAGCTCTGGGAGAGAAGTGATGATCAAACATGTGACACAGCATAAAGCTCAGTCTGTCAGTGATTAGAAAGCAACACTTTTACTTTCCTCTTTTCCCACAAGACCACGAACAAGACCCGTTTTATTTCTGCTGGAAGTTTGACAGAATTTAGTTAAAAATGGCAAAAACTTCCAAGGCATTGAGATGCAGCCATAACACGTTTTTACCATGGACCGTACACAAATATGGATGTTAAACGTTGTTAAATAATGAAGCCAAAATACCCCTGCACAGGGGCTGGTGATCTAATTTTGAGCCAAGAAATGTGCAGAAGGCCGCTGGCTGTATCTGGTGGAAATGGCGCCCTGCCCCTTCCTCTGAACAATACAGACATTAAGGTTCCTGCTAAAAGGTCAAAGGTCCCTCAGGTGGGTTCAGTCCACATCAGAACAGATTACGGTTATGGAAAGTTTAATGACTCTTTTGTTAGTGTCTGTTACATTTCCTCTCGCTGTCCCTCCTCTATTCTTATAATCCAGTGCACCCAGCAACGCAGGGTCCTCATTTGTCAACAGAGCTGTCAATCATGGTGTTATACTCCTTTTTATATCATCAAATAACTAATTACATCTAAACTTCTCAGAAAAATTAACACTTGGAAATAAATCAGCATGAAAAGAACTAACTTATAAGACAGAAACCATGTTTGTGAAAAATTTATGTGGCGTGTATTTTGATTTTATAGTTTGACCCATGTCTCATCTGTTAACATGGGGGAGGTGGAGTTTATGACCTATAGTGCAGCCTGTCAGCCGGGGGAGTTCTGAATGTTTTGGCTTCACTTACCAAAGACATATATTTGTACAGGTGTTATATCATATACTTTTACTTGTATAATGTTAATTTTACTCTAATTAAGTTGCTTGTTAGCCTATGACCTGTACTGCAGCCAGTCAGAAAAAGAGAAGTCCTAGACACCCAATATGGGGACATTTCATGTTTTTAATTATCAAAAATTGCAGGCAAACTCCTGCACATTTTCTTAATTTCACATGTACGTTGGCCTATCTAGCTCCTCCCACTTTTCCAAACATTGCCAACGTAGTTGTGCAATTTAGACAGTGCTTTCTTTCTTTTGGTTGAAAAAAACAAGAAAGAAGATCTGTAGCTTTTGTTTTTTCAAAGCTGTGATACTTTTTCAAAATGAAAGATTGCCTCATTTTAACTGTCATGGTATCAAAAAGTATTGATCATTTTGACCACCTTAGTGGAAGGTGTAGCTGCTGTGGTTGTTGTGTTGTCGTACCAGTCTGACATGTTCCTGTGTCTCTGCAGGAACGTGTATAAGGACTACAAGAGTCTCGATCTGGCCTGCAGCTCTCAGGAGCAGCTCGACGGCTGGAAGGCGTCTCTGCTGCAGGCCGGAGTTTACCCCGAGAGAGTCACTGTCAGTACACCTGTCTGCACCTCACCTCACTTTACCTGTGTGCTGTGTGAACTCAGAGAGCATGTGCAGACTTTAAACTCCCCCTGTCCTTCTCTCCGTGCTCCCCCCTCTCCTCTTCTTCCAGAGAGAAATAGAGTCCCCCACCCGCTCTGTCGTTGGCTCCTCAGAGCAGCATTCTCTGCACATGATGTCACTGCAACATGTGCGTGTGTGTGTGTGTGTGTTCCAGTCTGTTTCTAATCAGCAATTCCTCGTCCCTCACAACCCCCTCCCCTTTACTTTCTCCCCCCTCCCTGCTCTCCCTGCTCCTCTCACAGCCTCTTTTTCTCCTCAGAGTTCAGAAAGGACGACAAGATATGAACACACTCACAAAAACACACACACAAGACACAACTCTACAGCCTCACACAGCTCACACATCTCTATCAGCATGAAGTGACCACAGCATGTTACTCCCCACTTGTTAAAAGCTCCTTCGTGTGTTTGTGATTGTTTTAATCTGTGTACCAGTTGTTCTTTTAATATTACATTGAGAATCAACAACCAGTAAATTAAAAAAGGATTTGTTTTCCGTTACCAAAAGATTTGATTTTAATTTGAATGCATGTTGAAAGAACGAATAAAACACGGATCGTATTTGTGTGTGCACCTCCCTCAGGTGGACGAGCAGGAGAACGGAGCTCCTGAGAACCTCTCAGACCCTCAGCTGGAGCGTCAGGTGGAGACGATCCGCAGCCTGGTCGAGTCCTACATGAGCATCATCTATAAGACCATCAAGGACTTAATGCCAAAGACCATCATGCACCTGATGGTCAACAGTGTGAGCGCCATCAGAGTCTGACGTCATTTAACATGTCTGTATTTAAAAGGGTAGTCGAGTCTGCGTAGTATAAGTGTGGTTGTAGGAGGTTCCAAAATTTGGGGTATTTTTTAACCAGTCAGATTACTGAGTGAAAAACTGAGCAGTTCGGACATCAGACAGTTCAAAACATTTGATAGTACAAAACAATTGACAGAACAGAATAACGGAACTATACAAACATGTTTAAAAAGCGCTTCACAGACTTTTGGACCAAAAAAAAAGGCACACATTCACGACCAACTGAAAACGGCTCCTCAACCCACTTTTGGTTCACAACCAACGAGTTTAAAACCACTGGTTTACAACACCACTACTGGCTGTATTAACACTGTAAGGAAACAGGAAGCAGGTTTTAAGTCATTATCATAAAACTTTTTGGCGTCGCTCCATTTTTGAAGAATTTGAAAACCTTCTGACTTGTCTCCTCAGTGATGATCTAATATGAATAATAGAATCTTAGTATGATCTGAGTACAACTAGTCTTTACTCCATTTGTAATCCATGTGTGCTGCCTCTCTGCAGATGAAGGAGTTCATCAGCTCAGAGCTCCTGGCTCAGCTCTACGCTCTGGGAGAAGGAGCAGCTCTGATGGACGAGTCCGCGGAGCAGCAACAGCACCGCCAGGAGGTGCTCCTCAAACATGTCGCCCTGAAGGAGGCTCTGTCTGTCATTGGACAGATCTCAACCTCCACTTGCACCACCCCTCTGCCTCCACCTGTGGACTCCTCTTGGATCCAGCCCTCAAGGTACACAAACACACACACACACACACACACACACACACACACACACACACACACACACACACACACACACACACACACACACACACACACACACACACACACACACACACACACACACACACACACACAGACCTCAGAGGTATTCACAGTGTTTCTGTCATTTCTGCTCCTCCTTTCCCCTTAGTGTTGTTCCTCAGAGGGCATCAAGCAGAAGGGGTCGAGGTATCGCACCATCTGCACCTCACCTGCCCCCCCACACTGGACCCACTGCCTCTTCAAGCACTGATGGCCTTACGAAGCTCCCTAGTCAAGCCCACCGGCCTCCACCCAGCGTGCCGAGGTGACTCTGAAACTTGCAAAAAGTCTTTGAGCAATTTAGACAGTGTGCAGGAGCATGCCTGCAATTACTTGTGATTAAACCCAAGAAATCATCAAAAACTAGGTGTCTGGGACTTTTAATTGTTATTGCCATGGTAACAAAAGGTATTAATTTCATTAGATTTTTACTAGAATCATATCAAAGTTTAAAAATGTGGAATGGAGACAACCCTTCAACACGCACCAGGCACACACACACACACACACACACAGGCAGCAGAGGGAGCTGGGTGGGGGTCTTCTGGAAAATGTGTTTCTCATATATTGTTTCCCATCAGCCCCGGCAGTCAGGACTCCTCTATGAGCAGCCAGAGCAAACAGGTCGAGCTCCTCCACTCCGTCCATCATCCCCCTTTCCTCCTCCTCCTTTCCTCTATGTCTTATTCCCCTTCTCCTCCTACTCTCCATCTTCATACCTCACTCCTCTCCCTCTCCATCTCCATCCCCCTCTCCTTCGACTCCTCTGTCTTCACCCCCCTCTCCTTCTCACCTCCTATTTTTCCTTCATCCCCCTCTCCTCCTCTTCTTCCTGCATGGATGTCTTTCAGTGCCTCCCCAGTTTTTTCTCCTCTCCTCCTCCTCCTCTACATCTTCATACCCCTCTCCTCTTCTTCTCCTCTTCCTCTCCGTCCATTTCCCCCTCTCTTCTTCCTCTCTGTCTTTATCCCCCTCTCCTTCTCCCCCTCCTCCTTCATGCATGTGTTTTATTGCCTCCCCAGTTTTCCTTCTTGCAGTCACAGTTATTTTCCCTTTTTCTTTTTCTTGAACATTTCTCCTCTCCTCCTCCTTCACGGTTCCTCCTCTGCTTTTGGCGCGCCTCTCCTCTTTCTCTCTGCCTCATTTCCTCTCTGCTCTCTGACGGTTCTTTAGGTTCTTTCCCTCATACGGACTCCTTCCATCCGACCCTGTGAACCCTTTTCTGTTTCTGTCTGTTACCTATAGACGTTACCCCGCACAGGAACATCCAGAAAGTCTAGTTTTCTCACCGTGGTAAAGTTTTTGGACACAATGTGTTACAGTCAGAGTGTCACATTGTTGGAAATACAGAATAAAGATCCAACATCTGGATTTACTTCTTCTACTGTTACTAATAATGCTGTTAATGTTAGCATTGTTTAACCCTTTTCTTGACTCCTCTTCTTTCGAGGTTTGAAAAATCTGCAGATGTTGACGTTGGAATAAATAGGAATATTTTTATCCTGTAATGAACTGAATGCCTTTTAAAGTTTCAGTTCTCACCAGTAAAAACAGCACGGCAAACAGGCCAAGTTTATTCATTATAATCAGAGGATCAGAGGATAGAAAAAAAAAAAACTAAGATGTAGCCACCTTGATGTCACACATGCGTTTTTAGCAACTTTTTTAATCAATCAATTTTTACTTTTACACCATCGATTCATAATGAAAAACATTATCTGCAGACACTTTGCATGAAGAGCAGGCCTAGAGCGCCACACTCTTATATTATATTATGTTATATTATTTACAAAGACCCAACACTAAAACCATGATGAGCACAGACCTTGAGTTTTGTTATTTTAGCTGCTACCATCTTGGTAATTGAGCCACAAGTGATATTATAAGGGTAAGAGGGTGGAGCTGGGTTAGCAAACAGCAAGTTATCAAAGTTACACAGTTAAGACACAATACTAATTCATTAGCTTACAAGCCAAGTAGGGTTCTCACAGACACAGATAGCTGCTAATTGCTGTTAACATGTTAATAAAATAAAGTTATGAAGTGACTGAGAGTGGAGGACTTGCTGAAACAGGTATGACCCTCACCTTTTGGAAAGATGGACATGAAGCCCCTTGCTGGTTTGTTTGCAGTTTAGAAAGTTTCTGGTTTGGTATTTTGGCTGACATTTTGGTTTCCTGGAGCCAGCAATGACCATATTTGGAGAAGAGGGCAGGGCTGAAGAGGAGGGAAGTGTCCATATTTGAAGATGTGGGAGAAGTGCAAAGGTTTCCAACCCCTCCCCTTTTCCAAACATGGGTACACCCCCTCCTATCCAGCCCCGCCCACTTATCCAAATGTGTTACTTCTTGAAACATATAAATAAACTAAAATGTTTATGTTGCTGGTTAAAGTTTGTGTTCTGTTTATGGTGTTAAAAAAACTGTGATGTGATCTCTGCAGGAGGAGTCCTCCAGCTATCCCACATGCAAAATAACCGACCATCCTGCACAGGATTCAGGACTCCATTACCCATGTGCCCCGGCTGCAACTGAATGGAATAATGTGTAATCCAGCTGCAGCTCGATGCTCCTCTGGGAGTCTGTAGGATCCACAGATACTGTTTTCTACATCAGATGTGAATGTCTGCTGCCTCCTCACAGGGCTGAACTCTGTACATAAAAATACTGACTTATATCACTTTTAGAAAATACACATGCACTATTTTTTACTGTTTTTGAATAAACAGGTGTTCTATTTTTCAACATTTATCCTGATTTTTCATTATTTACAGGTTTGCAGGAATAAAATAGATGATAACTACCTGTTCCTACTTCCTACTAAGAGCTCTTTTTGCAAATTAGTCATATTGCTTCCTCTGAAAAAACAGCATCAGGATATCAGAATTTTTAATGATTTGATATTTTTCAACGCCTCCTGTTTTAAAACAATATAATCATATGGACAGGTACAGTCATATTTTGCGGGACCGGTTTTTTAATGCCTCTGCCTCAGGTCATGTGCCACCAGCTGTACTGTAGCCCTCCTCATTAGAGTTTTCATGTTGGAAATTTAAACTTTGATAAGATTATTGTAAAAATTAAAAATCAAAGGATAACGATACTTGTGACAATACATCAGCAACAAACATAGAAGTCCAAGGATCAGGAGCTTTGGTTTAAAACGACAGAAGAACTGTAGTCTTTTCTTGTGTACGTTTTGGTACTCTTTGATACTCTCTGTTATTAAAATAACAGATTGTATCAATTTAAAACGAGGTATTGAAAAGTATCAACGTTTTGACAGTTTTAACAACCTTGGTAAATGTTGCACGAGGTGAGGGAGTTCTGAGAAAGCCTTAGACATCTGACATTGGATGGTTTCTTGTTTTTAATTACCCAAAGTGCAGGCAAACTCCTGCATGGTCTATATAAAAACTTCTCATGAACCTTTTTCATTAGCACAAAAAATGTTCTTGTAATTACGCAAAACTTTTTCATGAGCACAAAAAAAGTTGTTGGCACAAAAAATGTTCTCTTAAGTAGGTAAAACTTCGGTACTGAAACATTGCCAATGTAGTTTGCAGGACTTTGGACTGATGTTTGTTGCCATGGTATCAAACCGGTATTGATATTTGATATTTCCTAGAATCATATCTACGGTTTTGGTGACAGCCTCCAGTCTTCACACTACATGTATTTATATTTAATATGTTTTTAAAGTACTTCATTTAGTTTGTGAGAGAGCTCTATGTGTTCATTGACACCAGCTGAGTGTTGTGTGTACATTAAAGAATTACAAAATTGTTCCATGTATCTAAAGGGTCAACATCAGTCTCAGTTACTCTTTTAAAAAAATCAGATCCAGCCTGTGAAGAAATAAACTTATACAACAGTTTGGCTGGAAAAACAACAGCTTTAATCCTTCAGAGTGAGTCACGACACAGAATCCCCTCCTGAGAGCAAAATGAAGGATTTTCTGTTCAGTCAGAAGAAATGTTAAAGTTCCCATGCAGCTTGATTCTGAAAAAGCAGAAAGTTGGGGAGGAGGAAACTGAAGATATGCATTTTCAATTCTCAGTATCTAAATCACACACAAAAAAACATCTGCTCATAGGTCATGTGTTCATGGAGGAGGGACACTAAAACATGAAACACCACCAAGGGCAAGATGAGTCATCACCAGGGATTTTTTCCACCTAGAAAACCAGAAGTGTTATTAGGAAAATACGGTGGCCCTGAAGGTCAACACCAGAAACATTTCATGACAAAATAAAAATATTTCCTAAAACGCAAAAACAGTTATAAGAGGCTGTTTGTACGTCTCCTCAAATATTTTAGCTTTATTTTTTGGGCATTTAATGAATTTTGCTTAGCGTTTTATTAAATGTTTTTTCTTTTAAGTGACATTTGTTTTGTGTTTTTTGCAATATTTTTTGTGTATTTAAAAAAGAAATGCACTGAGGGACATATTTTAGCATTTCATGAAATATTTTTGGATGTGACTTTTTTTATGTTCAGTGAATTTTAATTTTTCCAGTTGACCTTCAGGGCCACCGTAAGAAAAAACCTAGAAGACGTGCTTGTTTGTTTGAGTTCTGAAGCACGTGATGATCACGGCAAAACAGGTCATTAAAAAACTGAAACATCTATGTCATTGAAGAAGTGTAACCGAAGACTCTTGTTTTGGATTTGTTTTGGCATTTTAAGTAGAAAATCATTTTTAAAAGCCTTACATGCTTATCAAACACGGTGTGATGACACTGATGTATATGATACAATATGAAACAAAGCACTTTATTTTCCACTTTGGGAAATTTGTCTTAGACTCAGGTGCTGCAAACAACATACCAATGATGAAAACTTAGATATTAACCGTGGGCTAGCCTTACCAAAAAATTACCTATGTTGGTTCTTATGCTGCTTTCATGTGGTGTACATGAACACGTGCTCAAGTCGGAACAACAACTCGGAAACTTGGAAAAGAATGAGTTGCCCGACTTACCGACTTGATGTCAAAATATGTTTTTTTTTGTGAACATACTTTTTATTAATTCACTTATTGCACATCAACTTTTTGCTCAAATATAGGCCTAACTATTAACGGTTACATTCCACAGATCTTCTTTGTATCATCAACGCTGATTTGTGCCATTTTAACAGCATTCCGACTTTCCGAACTGAACGACTTCCGAACTCCAAAACTTGGGACCACCCGAGTAGCAAATGAGTGCAGTATTACACAAGTCCCGCCTCTGACAGGCTAAATAGTACGAAGCCCCCGAAGTCCTGAAAAGTAAAAATATATATATATATATCTTGTGTGCACAAGATAATTGTGACTATCTCAATAAATAATTTGAAATTAATTTGCCTCGGCAAATTGTTTAGTTCAGCCTTATGGAGATAACTCAACATAACTGAAATGTTATAACGTAATAAAAAAGTTATAATATAATACCTTAGAATTTCATAAAAAGGAAGTTGCTGCTTTAACTCACTGCAGGTTAACAAAACGTACTGTTTTAAGTTATTTTTAAACATTACTTGAAAAATACAAACACTGAATTCCTAACCCTTTACTCAAGGGTTACATATTGAGGGTACTTAGAAAAATGAAAAAACTCTGTTCTCATGTTTGTATGTGTACGTGTTAATAAAGTAAGTTACAGTACAATTCTATAACTTGTAGAAAATGGGTTTTTTGAAAGTATTTGACTGAAGTGCTTTGGCAAACCTTACTTATTGAGATTCGTATCAATATGTAGGCTACATACATAATTATCTTGTGCGCACAAGATATTTGGTTTTTTACTTTTTTAAACTTAAAATACAATCACAGTGTAGGATTTTTGGGGTTTGAACGTGGGGTGGCCAATCAGATTTCAAGGGGGGCCCATGCCACACATCTGGACACGCCCATGGTGTCATATCATCAACATCGACATTTTAGACTAGCGATTCAGCATCAGCAATCATCAACCCATAGTGATAAAAACACTTCACCTGTTTCAGAACGACACAACGCATTCAAAAAGATTCGATTTTATAAGCAGAAAATATTTATCAATTCACTTTGAAAGTTAGTCTACACTTTGTTGTGGATTAAAACTGTGAACATACGAAAAGGTTCCCTTTGTGAATAAAGAGACTTGTTAATGTTCTTATTATAAAAATATCAAATTTAAAACTCGAAAAGGATCAATGAACTTCTAATTTATATCAAAACCGCATAACAATAAAACCAAGATAATTTTTAATAAAAATAATAATAATAGTAATACTAATTAGGTTACTAAAACGATCCCAGACGTACAGCGTGACGTCGGGTTTACGTCACACCTCCCCGTATCTTAACATCCTCCGGTCCTCCGAGCAGCGGGGAGCCGTTCAGCCTCAGCCCGACTGAACCTTGTTAGAGTCGGGCTACTCTCTGTGAGAGATGGCGCCTCTCCAGCTCTCCAAGCGGGAGACAAAACCAGCTTTAACCCCGCTGAGCAAGAAGCCGAGAGGAGAAGTGAAGGTACGCCACCTAGCGACCAACACACACACTGCAGACACACACAGTCTGCTGGTGAATCATCACATATTTGATTTCTTATTCACGGAACAAAGTGTTCACAGGGCGGAGTGTCACTGAAGTATTTTGTTATTTTATATATTTTGTTTTTAGATTATGTTAAAAGGAAAGCAAACAGGAGAAAAGCCGATGTGTCAAGAGTTAATGATTTTATATCAAAACAAAAGTTTGAACGCTACAACGGTTACACACATTTAAAAGATGGCGCCCTCTGCTGCCCCCTGTGGGCTGAAGCTTTAAACCTGTAAGACATCTCAACAGGTGTTTCCAACCAGCTGACACAACCTGTGTGACGTCACTGATCAGGCTGTGGTCTATAAGTCACAACAAAGTGGTTTTATGTTTCTGCAGAAACCAAAGAAACACGTTTTTTGTCATTTGTTTACTACTTGTTAAACCTATATTCACTTATTCATTTTCAGTAATAATTGTTTGTGTTTCCTTTCTCAAAAATGTTCAACAATATATAAAACAAATGTATCAATCTGATAACTAAAAAGCTATAAAAAGCCTGGCATATAGGCTAGTGCACTAAATATATATGTGTAACGTAACAAACATACCACTGGCCATTCTGCGTCCTTGTTCATAAAGCTTATGAAAAAAAGATAATAATTATAAGAAGAAGAACTGTAAATCATTTATTTTGAGCTTATAATGGATAATATAAAATGTTTTTTCCCTTATTTTATATATTTTTACATTTTAATTTTGTTTCACTTTATTGAGCTCTTGAGAGGTTCTTCTGTACTTTGAATGTATCTGATATATATATAATGATATATATATATATTATATATATATAATATGTAGATCTCATGGCTGGGAAAGTTTCTTAACATTCCACTACTCTTCTATATTATATTTGTACATGTAATTTATATTTATTACATTGATTTTATGTTCCTAATGTGTATCATTCTTGGCTGGAAAGGTACTATTTTACGATGTATTATTGTTTATGTGAACAATGTGGAATTAAAAAGCAGCTTCAAAACATTTCAAATAATAACATTTCAAATAACTTTCACGCACACTTCTCTTACAAATATATATTTATTAGAGAATCAAAAAGTAATAGCCATAACGGACCAAAGTTAAAGAATGAATTGATCCAAAGTTTGGGGCCGGATAGCAAAAGTCAGAAAAAAACATGGACAACCCTGTTGATCCTTAAAGGTTAAAAATAACGATATTTAGGATTTCATATTTTTATTTATCTCATTAAAAAGAAACACAACTGAAGATCAGTTTTCCTGACTCTCAGAACAAAGACTCAAAGCCTTCACGTCTCTGACAGTCGGCTTAATGTGACGCCTCCGAGGTTACAGCCTGTCCTGATCAGCCTTATAGTGGTTTATACCTCAATATTTACAGTCTATGGTTTATACTGGTTTATCTGAGTCATCATGAGAAACTAGCAGCAAACATACACTCATTAAAAAAGTAATTACATCAATAATATGCTTTCCCTCCTTAAAAAAAAACAACGTAAAAAAATTCAAGTGAACTCGATCTGACGGTCTAAAATAAAAAAATAAAGCATCATGAAGCTTTGATTTCTTTATTAGTGTATCAAACTGGGATCCAGTTTAAATTGAGCTTCTGCTAGTTATTCAACTTTTTATTCAAACTTTTAATAAATATAGGTTGGTTATCATGACCACCAACATTTTTTAATACAAGCAAAAACATCAAATGATATCAATACCGGTTTCAACATCACAAAAATAAAAATATGAATTCTGTAGCACCCAGTATTGGGTAATATCTTGTTGTTTTTAAATATCACAAGTTGAGGCTTTGAGATTTTTAGTTCATTCCTCTCCTACACAGCTGTCTGATGAAACATGTTTTTTTAAGTTTCTGTACTTTTTGATAATATTGATCATTAAAATAAAACTGACAGAGACTTTATCAACTCGTGGTATTTAAACATAACTGAGTATTGAAAAACCTTATAAGAAAACATTTTATATAATTTCAAAACCCTTTAAAAATATATTCATTTACACACACACAACAGTAGATCAGTTAAACACGGTTAAACATCGCTGATATGAACCTGGAACAGAATAACAAGTGTTCAGTGTTTAGAGTACCAGATTTTAAATCTGTGATACAAATGTAGTAACAATCAAATGATATCAATACCTCTTTGATACCACAGCAACAAAAATAGAAGTCCTAGACACCCAATGTTAGAAAATGTATTGTTTTTAATTAGCATAAAAATCAGCTGAGATCATGCACACTGTCTCAAACACACAGACGACGCATTTGTACAATTCAGACAGTGTGCGGGAGCTTTTTCTTAAATCTGACTGAAGACCTGTGGCTTTTTTATTAAGCTTTGGTGCCTTTTGATACGATCTATCATTAAATAACAGAGACTGTATTGTTTCAGAACATGTGATATCAAAAAGTATCAAAGTTATTTTGTCTGCCTCAGTCAGTATTTCACGAGGGGAAATAAAATCATCAACACTTCAGAGATGAACATTAAAAACTTCTTCATGATCTCTGCTCGAATATAATGAGGAGTGTTCACATGATGAAACTGTGAATTATCATGATGACGGTCAATGAGTTCATAGTTAGTCCTTTAGTTTAACCCTTTGTGTCTCTGACTGTGTGGGTCAGTTCAACAAGTTCAGGTCCTCGTGGATCTCCGCCTCGTCCCACGGTCCCTGGATGTTGTCTTTGTGTCTCTGCAGACGCACTAACAGGAGGGGGCACAGCAGAGTCACACTCCCTAAAGCCAGGGCTAAGAGAACGGCGCCTCCTGGTGACTGAGACCCCAGACCCCCAACTCCTCCAACACACACTCCCACACAGAGCGCTGTGAAGTGTGTGGGATTGTTCTCCCGGAGCCTCTGCAGCAGGCAGGGCCACAGGGCAAACACCTCGAGGGCACAGCTCAGCATGGCAAAGGTGTGCAGAGCTCCAGGTAACCTGGACGCCAAACACACTGAGGCGAACAGGGCTGCGTTCAGGGAAAGGCTGCCAGGGGGGGAGGGGTGAGCATAGGGGAAGGACACCAGGTGTGCGAGCAGCATCACAGCGGACATGGCGTACACGGTGTCGGTGCTCACCGACTCTGTGAGCGTCTTTAGAACTGGAGAGAAACCAAACGTGAAGGAGAGAAAGATGGCGGCGCTCTGCAGGTCAGCCAGACGAGTCCGAGTCTCACAGCCTGACTCGACCTGAACCGTCAGGGACTGGTAGAGTCCATAACCGAGCAGAGCGCATAGCAGGCTGCTCCACAGGAGAGTCTCAGGAGACAGCAGACCCTGAGAGCAGAGCAGAGATTTGAGTTTATCAGGCGCACCAGTTTCAAATATCCTCACAAAAAAAATTATTCTGATAATGTTTAAGTGAACATTTTCAGGATACTCTGAAAACTTCCAGTATTATTAAGCAATACATTGTGATAATATTTATATCAATCAATTCAGAAAAACAACCATTGTGGTCAGATTTTTGCCCAGAACTGGAAAAGTGTTTGACCTATGAGGAGCACTTCTGAAGCGTACCTGCTCCATGTAAAGCCACAGGGAGATAAAAATGGCGACACAGGACAGCTGCTGTCCCACAAAGCCCGCCTCCTTCACCACAGCCCAGTATCTGTAATGTCTGAGCCCCTCGTTCCTCCGTAACTCCTCCAGGAAACGCCGGTCTACGTAGTTATCAGGGAACGGCTGACGCTCCCAGAGGACCTTCCTCCAGGGCACCGCTGGACCCGGGGCCCCATCCGGTCCCATCACCCTGAACACACAAGATGTTAACTCATCGGCAGCTCAAAGTTACAGGCAAAAACAACAAGAATTAAGATCCAGGCTCACTCTGTGTCGACCGGTTTCTAAGATTTATTTCTCGACAGAAAAATATCATATGAACAGTTTTTTCAGGTCACATTAATACAGCATCATTTAGAAGCACAGTGTATACAGTAAATACAGATACTGAATACAGATACAGATACTGAAATACAGTGTACTGCAGCATATGGTAAATATACTGATACATACATAAGCACCTGCTAAGACAGTATTACAGTGAAGACAAGCTGCACCTGTGTGTGTGTGTGTGTGTGTGTGTGTGTGTGTGTATGTGTGTGTGTGTGTGTGTGTTCAAAGAGTGGTGACGTCTCGTGTCAGAAACGAATACCTCTCCGTTTAGTTTCAAATTAAAAACATATCTGATGAGAATTTTTTACGTTTTATTGACAAAAAATAGAAACAAATAGATATTTGTTTAAAACACTTTCCGTTCTCAACATCAGTAAACAACGACAAACTGATGCACTCGGCTGAAAGTCACCAGATAACACGGTCACATTTTGAACCGCAACACTGAACACCTGTAATGTCACCCCAAACATCGTACTTTGGAGGCTAATCTGCTAACCCTTTCCGACAAGTCATGTTCATCATTGAATTAAATATCAATCGGCTGATCTGATAAGAGTACAAAATGATCCGTATTTTATCATTCTGACGGTGTCAGTGAGCCGTAACCAGATCAACCGGAGGACTGTTTTGACAGCTTAACGGAGAAGCTAGTACTCATACTTCATGTGTCTTTGACACAGCGATAAAAAGTCATATGTGAGTTAAACGTGTCTCCAAGATTGGCAACACGTTTGAAGCCTGTTAAACTACCTCGAAAATGTCTGAAAATGTTTATTTTCACCTACCTGAACTTGTATTGAGATCAGCTCCGATACTACTACAATCTCAACATGTTTTTAGCCCGGAAGTATAGCTCTTTGTTACAGAGCTCACAGCGCCCCCTCTGGTGGACATCAGCACCTGTCTGTCAAATTCATACTGATCATAACCTTGGTTTATCAGTAGCTCATTTATACATTTACACAAAAAGAGGAGTCCTACTCAAGCAACTGGAACAAGTCTGAAGTATAGAGAACATCTGTTAATCATGTATCAAAAGGATATTGCAAAAATGTTTGATATGTGACTTGACCTGATGTCTCCTTCTTTAACAGGTGTCTGTGTTGAACATTTGTGGCCCCTTCTTAAGACCTACAAATGCACAACCTTACATTCTAGCAGACAGGTAACAAAGCCTTCTTAAATGAACCAGTTATCATGATGTTGAAAATTTGAGTCCTTTCGGGCAGTGTAATCTTTTCTCTGTCACTCAGCAGCATCCCAAAGCACAGACAGCGGTATGCTGTGAGTTTTGTGAGGATCAAACCTGTGAGCTGCAGCTCAGGGACAAAGGACTCACAGAGCACGATGGTAAACTCTGCAACACCAAACAAAATATGATTTCCATCCTAAAATGTTGAACAAAAACAATTTTATAAAAAATAAAAATCTATTTTTCCAGATTAACAAGATAGAGCAGAGATAAAGTAGATATTTTTGTTTTTAATGAGAGGATGAAAAAGATAAATGCAAAAACATTTCACATGCTGCAAAAAACAGTTCAGAAAATGGAAAGGGTAGGACCACACTATTTGTTTCTTATTCGCCAAAACCAAAGTCCTTAGCAACAGTCAAACGTCAGAAGGTTTTTGCAGTAAGTGAAATGTTTTTTTTAGTTTAATGATGTGACTTAAGCATTTCAGGAAATGACTTGTGTTTCAAGATGTTGTTTATGTTGTTTCACGAAATGCTTTTGTGTCATTAATGTTTTTGCTTTTCACAAAAGTTTTTGCATTTCATTTCATTACATTTTTGTTTTCTTTGTAAAATATTTTTGTTTGTTTTAGCAGTTGGCCTTCAGGGCCACCACACAATAAGCTTCTGCTTGACCTCTTCCCTTTTTTGTTTTTGTAACCTCTCTTGTTGTTTTCATATATTTTTTGTGTGCAATTAAAATTTCTGTGAAGAGTGTTTATCTAGTAATGAAACAGAATGAGGCTAATAATGTTTCCTCTTTAAGATCTACAAAAGCACACCAAACTAATAAAAGAGAAAAGGGATGATTTAATTGTATGTTATTTTATATGGTCCCTGCTATAGGATCTGTGTAAGACAAGGAGCTCAAAGCATGCTGCAGACAGAATTAAAAAAAATAAAAAAATGTCGACACACCAGATTCCTTGTTATTTGCATTTTACAACTTGTGTAACTGCACATTCACAGGACAAAATCAGATAGAAGATTCTAACTCTGCAGGTGTCAGGATAAAATAAAACTAAAAAAATTCACACATTTGTTGTCATTCTGCTCTAACATAATCATCTTTTTCTCCAGCAGCAGGCAGCATCATGTCCTCGTGGATCCTTGTCACAGAGTACGATCCTCCCGTAAGTATCCTAAATCAAAGTTTCACTCTGTGAGGATGAGTGAAGAAGATGAGAACTTCATCCTCTCTGTCCTTTCAGCTTCGCTGCACAGTGTGTGTATTCATCCGGAGTCTCGGCTTCTCTGAAAGAGTGTCTCATCATCCGTCCTGTGCAGCAGCAGGTCCAGAAGAAAGCAGCAGCTCAGTCATGAAGACACCTGAAGGAGGCGCTGTTTTCATCCAGGTAACTATTCACGAGCTGTGTCCATGTACAACAGGTATAAATCAGGTTTCTATGAGCTCATTAAGAACACAACACAACACAGAGGTCAGGAAATGTTTAATTTATACACATTCATAACTACAGGACATTAGACATATAAATATCTTATACAGGTCACACTCCCTGTGTCCTCAATGCTGCTTCACGAGAGGAGAAAAGATTTGTAAAACTGTGTGGCTGTTAAATCAGAAACTAATTCCCTTCTCAGTAACTTAGAAATACTTTAAAAAATATATCCTGATTGTAACTGCAGGGAACAAAAAACACACAAAAATGACATTTTTAGACAGACTGCGTAAAGTTTGGTTTTATAGCACGTCCAGCATTAAGCTGTTGTATTCTACAGAGACCCTGCGGGGACATGGGCTGGAAAAAATTAAAGTTTCCTAGTAACCATGAGAAAGTTTTGCCTGTGCATCAGAAAGTTTCTGCCATTCTATACCATGAGGTGAGTTTAATGGTCTTATCCCATCTCTGTGAGCCAGAGGTATCTCAGAGAGTTTAAGGTGCTCATGCAATACTTTCTCATGTGCTCAAAAAACTTCTCTGTTACACATGTAAAACCGTCTCAGACATGAAAAACGTTCTCACGCGCAGTAAAGACTTTCTTGTGCACACGTAAAACGTTCATGTGCAAATAAAAAACTTGTAAAAACCTTATGAGCATTTACAACTTTGTCAAGGGCAAAACAACTTTACCAAGAGCACAAGAAATGTTCTGATGAAGTGCATGAAAAAACATTGTGAACATATAAAACGTGTACTTGCACATGTTAAAACTGTTGTGGCACTTGGTCAAGAACACTTCAGTGTTCAAGAAAAACAACTTGTGAGTATTAGAAAATGATTTTGAGAGCATGTAAAACTTTCTCAAGAGCACAAAAACTGTCCTTTTGTACACAGGATGCGTTTACTTTAAGTTTTAACTTGTTTTTTTTTTAATTTTGTAGACCTTGTCCCTTTAGGGCCTCCATAATCTTCATATTGATTAGACTCGCTGTATCTTTGTTTTACAGTGCAGGGAAAACTCTGAAGATGGAAACATGGAGTCTCCATCCGTTTCATCTGTGCTCAGGATTAATAAAGACACATGAAGCCAGGCCACTGTAGAGTCTGAATACAACAAAATGACTTCACGCACACAACGGGACAGAATGTAGAAAACCCTCATAAAAATACTTTAAATGATGCTCCGAGAAAATGAAAACATGTTGTTCTGTGGCGTCAGAGGCAGTGCAATGATCATGTTAGTTTGAAAATAAAAAAAAGAATTAACAAATAAAGCAGAATTAACAAAAAGAAAGAGTGCAGTGCAGTATTGGTAATGACCTTGCAGGTGTCAGGAGGATAGAAATAGACTCCTGTCACCAGAGAGACGGGCAGCTGAACATCTTCACACAGTAGGTGGCTGTAAGAGGACACCCCCCCCCCCTCCACCATCCAACCCTCTGACCCTCACCCAGCAGGCGTGAGGCATGGCTAGGTGGCATTTGGGCCACCAGGAGAGGAGGGCAGCAGTTTCTTCTTCTACTACTTCAGGGTACTTTAAGTGCTAAGGAGCAGTGTTAGCATTGTTAGCAGCATCCTTAGCCATCTCAGCTGAACCTAATCACCTGAAAAAAGTCTGACTCTTCCAGAGATGTTGTGGGACGATTTTTATCCTTCCTGGTACAGATTCTGATACCTAGACTTAAATATTTGCAGATCCCAAGCACCTCTGCAATTCTAGCTTTGTAAAGAAATATGTTATTATCTAACAACTACTTTACTAACTCTGTATAGACAGGACATGATTACTACAGGGCTGTCAAAACTCCAAATGATTAAACCTCAATATGATTCTAATAAAAATCTAACATCACTACCTTGGCAACAAAAATAGAAGTCCTAGACAACCAACTGTGCTTAATTTCTTGGTTGAATTACCAAAGACTGCAGGCAAACTCCTGCACACTGTCTTAATTGCATGCTAACATGCCATCTTAATTGTGCAATTTGGATGCTGCTCCCCATCTTTTTCCCTCGCGGCAGCTTATGGCTAAAAACATGACTAAACATCTGAAGATTTTTTTAAACTTTGGTACTTTTTGATTCTATTAATAATCAAAACAACAGATTGGTTTGTAAAAAAAAAACAAAAAAAAACCTGGTAAGGAACAGAACAGAATCAAAGTATTGAGACTTTGAAAACCGGTCTCTACCTGTTGCATGGCCTGGTACGGTTCACTTTAAACTATTCAGCTGAGAAACTTAATCAAGCTAAGCTAACTTAGCAGCAGCTTGTCTCGAGGCCTCTCATAACGCTCTGTTTCCTCTTAAGAGTTATGTAGAAAACCTGATTCTTAACATGAAGCCGCTTTATGTTGCAATCTCACCTTTTTTAAATCATCTTAACATGACATTTTGAAAAAAAATGCCTCAGGCGTGTGGCAGGAAAACACTTAACGCTTCTATTGACTCCCATTGACTACAATTGGACACTTTGTAGAGGAAGAAACATTTGAATTTTGTCAGAGCAGAAAATGATGGTATTTGACCCGTAGATTTACTCGAGTCATGTTGATGTTAGTGTCTGTATCTGAAAAACTGTACTATTGACAAACATCACAAGATGGCAACAGGAGAAATATTCAAAAGGCCGCTGACAGACAAAAAACAAAAAAAGGCTTAGTACAAAGACACCTACACAAACTTGTTCACCACTCCTGTTTGGCAGAAATCAATTCTTCAGACAGCGGATCATTTCTTCATCATAAAACATGTCCTAGAAAAAAGGACATTTTGGCAGCTGAATGCTTAACTTTAGACTCCAATAGAAAAATAGTTGCATCATAAACGTGCTCGTTTTGTCACTTTCTGGGAAGAATAACAGCAGCTCAAGTAAGGCTATAAAAATGCACGAGTTTTGAAGGAAGGAGAGACAAAGAGACAGAGTTTGTAAAGTGGTTATAAGTTTCTGTTCCTGATCACAGACTGATCACAGTGTCCCTTTGACTCCAGTGTGCTGAAGATCAGAGCAACAACAGTGTGGACTCCAGATGTCAGTTTAAGTGTGTGTGTGTGTATGTGTGTGTGTGTGTGTGTGTGTGTGTGTGTGTGTGTGTGTGTGTGTGTGTGTGTGTGTGTGTGTGTGTGTGTGTGTGTGTGTGTGTGTGTGTGTGTTTGTGTGTGTGTGTGTGTAGATGACTTCCTGAATTAAAAGTCAGGAGAAATGAGAAATGCAGAAAAACTTTCCCAAAGGTTCCTGTGTGCAGGTGAGTTAGTCTCTCTCTCTCTCTCTCAGGTGTCGGGTGGTGTTATGTGCGGACTTTCCTCTTGTCTTCAAAGAGCGAGCGGACCAGGTAGATCTGAACCGCTGACACCAACATCATGGCGACCATATTTACCACCGACCAGAAGTTCACCCTGTCGAAGTTACTCTCCTGCAGGTTTCTGTCGCGAGCCTCGAACGCCCGCAGCACCGTCTGGATCTGCACGCTCTTCCCTAAACGCGCCTTCACATTGTTGATGGCGTCCTGCAGAGAGGAGACACCAAGTCAGACTGAGGAAACAGACAGCAGTAAGAAGACCTCACAACTACATTCAAAACCGTTGATGAGGCTGTTATTGTGATGCAGGGTTTCAGTCCTCTGGATGGAGCTGAGATGTTTTTGGTGATATCAGCAAAGTTAGAACAATTGGTAAAAGCAAATATTTAATTCCAGAGAACTTCAATTTGATCAGATTTAAACATAGTCTGATAAGGTTTCCTTTTTCACATAATTAGTAGTTGAAAAAAGATAATGTGTTTTTATTCCTTCATCTATAGTACAGGATAATGGAGAGAGTGGAAAACTTGGGGGAGAGAATGGGGAATGACATGCAGCAGAATTCAAAGAGGGGGTCAAACCTGTCTGCGTTAAGGACTATTGCCTGTACAACAAAACAACTAAACTGCTAGGCTTCAACTTAACCCTCCTCGAGGGAAAATGTATTTTGCAGCCAGGTAAAAACAGACAACATACAGAAAACACAAGCACATAGACCCAGACTTGAAAATGAACATCAAACATTAATGATATAAATACAGGCAGACATCAGGTGACAACCTGGCATCAAGATTATATAAAACATCATTAAAACCAAAAATAAAAACCATCATCAGGGTCACCAGAAGAGAAATGTCTTAAAACTTATGAAGAAACAATCACCTGCTGCCGCTCGCTACACGAGCAGCGCCCTTAGATATTGATTCCATTTGAAATACTGATATTTTGTGTTTAAGAGCAACTGTAGCAAATGAATTTCCCCCTGGGATTAATTAAGTATTTCTGATTCTGATATCTTGAATCATGATAACATGGGATGAGACAAAATACCATTACTGAGATATATAGTCACCCTGAATCGTGTGATAGAAATATTCAATCGTTGGTTCCAAGTATCCATATCTTAATTAAAAATCTGCCGGTCTAAACAGATTTCCCTGATTTGTCTGAAGCTGCTGCAGCAGAGTCCATGACTCTAGAGTTTTTAGCATACATGTTTCAGCCTCCTCCAGAGTTTGTCTCATGAAAGAAAAGTTCTGAAGAGCTGGATGACCAGAATGATGCAGGTGACATGGTAACCCATGCAGATGAATTGGGGATTATGATAAAGGAAGAGTATGTGATTTTTCACACTATATAATAGTATAATAGAAATCAAGTATATCCTCTGAAAATCACTCTGTGAGTCATGACTGTCTACAATGAGTGTAACACCCGAGTCCCACTGTCTGTGAGGTTTTCTGAGTCCTATCTTCAGTTTGTTTACATCGCCAGGACGGCCGGCTGACTCCTCCCCTCGTGTATAAAAGTTGTTTAATTGAGGGACTAGAGAAAAGAAGAATAACATACTGTACTCACTGCTTATTTGAATGTCACGTAAGTGTTTTTAGATTACAGTCATTTCGTGTAAATGTACATGCAGCGTGAAGATACGAGCAAACTAAAGAGCGCTAGCATTAGCATGCTAACACAACAATGCAGCGAGTTTTGGTTTTTTGCTGGTGTTCAAGGGACATCCAGACATCTGCTGGATCAAAAAGTCACATATTCTTTCTTTAAGTAACAGTGTGTGCAGTCTATTTAGAGCTCTTTCGCCTCTTGTCGCTCCACCAGATGTGTTGCTTCCTTTACGACAATACTTCTTCCTTCACAGCTGGAACTTTAATTTCCTGTCTTTGAAATGAAGCCTGTGTGACTTCTGACACAGATCAGGTCACTTGGTGAGGAGTGGTGCAGGCTGCTGTGGATCAGCTGAAACAATTGGCTGCCCTCGGATAATAGGTGACAGTTCATGACATGCTCTATTCCTGTGACAGCCTCCTTGTGACTTTGAATACATCAGAGTTTTTCCATTTGCCCCGTGTTGTAGTAATGACACACGTCTGGGTTTCTAACTCACAGCCGGGGAGAAGTTTGGTTCTCCAGCAGAGCGTTACCGACCTCAGCCAACATCTGAAACCGTCCAGCCTCATGTGAGACTGAGCTGGAGTTTAAAAACAGCTCTCAGTGCTTTCACAACTTCTCCCTGAGTTTCAGAGTCTCAGTTTCACGGCTGTCTCGCTTTGTGTTCCTTAAAATATCAGCTTCATTTGACCATTACTGATCATTTTCAGACGATCACAGCTGTGTTAAAGACTATGGGAGATTTGTTTGTTTGCTGTCATTACTACTACCATGCATTCATACTACCATGAATCAGATATTGTAGCTATTAAAGGCAGGGTTGGTAATCTTCTCCAGATACACTTTTTAAAGATTTTGGTTGAAATTATCTTTAGGTCCTGATAGAAATTATTAACTCATGTGCTCTGAAAAAGGAAAAAAGAAAATCCGTCATCAGTGACGTAGTTTCTACACAATGCAAGTGATGAGCATCCCTAACGGTCACTCCGAGGGAAGTGGATGTGACTGCTAATCTTAAACAACAAACAGGTCAAATCAACCAGTTAAGGATGATTGTGATCTACTGTTTTTTTTTACATTTAGCAGGGATTTTTCTAAACCGAAACATCCACAGTGAGGTGAAACAGATGTGGGTAACATCTCTGATCATCACAAAAACTTAACCTTGTTGTTCTCAGCAGAACAACAAATATATCTACACAGTGCCAGCTCTTCTTCTCTTTTTCCCCCACTGTGGAGGTAGGTTGTGTGTTATTCTGTTGGCAGCTTGTTGGGTCACTCTGCCCCTCATGACTCTCTATGAGCAGTGGAGGCACAGTGACAACAGTCACAGCGGGCAGACAACAAGAGAGGGACAAAGTCTGAAACTACCACGGAGGATCAAACTAAAACACTTTGATTCAGTTTGTGCTTCTGACTGGTGACTGACGCAAACAATCATAATGTAAATCAAATGTGGAGTGTACAGCATGTTGCACTCACCATGATGTCCTCCAGCTTCATGTCCAGTATATCTGTTCCGTGGACGTACTCCTTCCAGTCGTCGGGGTCTTTGTCTGTGTCCATGTTGTCCAGGATCAGCTCGAAGAAGATGAGCTTCTCAGAGACGGAGCTGAACGAGTTGTCGAAGCAGAACATGTAGTCTCCGTCCTCCGTTTCAACCCTGGAGGGACGAACAGGAAGTGAGAGATCAACTTGGTAATAGGGTTGTTATAAAGACTGAATTCTAAACTACAATACTGTAACCCAAATCGAGTTATATCAACGCCTGTTTCAATACCATAGCAACTAAAATACACGTCTTGGGAAATCCCTTGTTTTTTCTTTATCAAACAATTCAAGAAAACCCTTACACACTGTCTTAATTGCTCAAATACATTTGCATATTTGCCAGGCGTACACTGTAGGATATCAGGCAGATTTAGGCCCGACTTTAGAGTCAAACCACAGATTTCTAAATCAGGCTTAATCTCAGGCCAATTGCGCACCGTCAGTCGTGCAGTGTACATTTTACAACGTGACATGGAAGGGGATATAAAGGTATAGAAAGTTTTAAAAACCTTGGTCTGTAATTTAAGTCCACCTCCTGAATCATGTGTGTAACTTACGTGTGCACGCCGTCTGACTTGCGGTAGTCGCTGTACAGCACGTGGCCAGAAGGAGAGGAGATTGTGAAGTCTACGTCAAGACCTGCACCATCTAATACCTGCAGACAGGTGAGGACAAAACAAGGAGTAAAATAACACACATGATCACATTTCTGTGAGTTAGTTTGGCTGGATATTTTCTCCAGAGATTGAAGCAGCACTTGATTTATTTTTAAACAAAGAATTTGAGGAATGCTAGTTTTTCCTCTCATGGTCTCCACTGGCCTGTCCTCCATAGTAGACACTACAGATGTGTAACATGCTTAGAATATCTCTCACAACCCATGGCCACCTCCCTGTAGTCAAATGACACCTTGACACACTAGAAAATCCATCTCAGGGGTTCAGAGCTGCAAGCGTAATAATATCCTGAAGAACTGGTTCCTAACAATATGAATATGAAGGTGTAAGTGACCCAACCTGCTGCCTCTCTTACACAACACATGGTTGTGTTTAACATGGCAGTGTATCAGAGTGGTTAACAACTAAGGGAATGAGAACCACTATGTTGACACTAACCATAATCTTAAAAAACAACAACAACACATATATATATATATATATATAGTAACAGAGGAAAAAGGACTGACTCTTCAATTTTTTTAGAAGGTGTGAACTGGAACTGTTTAGAGGTGTCATGGTTGATGGAAATCTGAACTGGAAATCACATGTAAATTACATTAAAGTGAAAATATCTAAAACAATTTCACATGACTCAATGATTGATTGATCCATATCTGACTTACTGTGTTGAAGTATGTTGACATGTCATTAATTAGTAGTTAACAGTATTCAAAGTACGTTAAAAGCTCCAAAAATACCTGAAAAAAAAACAACTTTACTGTCACAGGAATTCGTGTATGGAACAATCTTAACAGAGAAATGAATGAATCTAAATCAAACATTATATTTCATCAAATAATTAAAGCCAGGGTGAGGAGGAAATATGTTCTTTTAGTTTTTGTTGTGACAAGTAAATCATTTTATGGTCTCTATTTTATTGTATATAACCAGCCTATGTGCTTTGTCAGGAGGGATGGATTACAAGATTCTTCATCGTTCTGCTCCTTTTCATTCAAGACTAAATGAACACGTGTGTCAGGTGTCAGGGTGTTGACAATATCAGAACATTAAACTTCAATATAACAACATTGTCATTACCTGTTTTGATACCACATATAAGTCACGTGGGAACCAATTATTGGCATATTTCTTGTTGAATAGAAAGTATTTAACATTTTGACAGCCCTCCAGAGGTGATATCATTAATTTGACATTCAGACAACATGTTTAATTTTTTTTTTTTTTTTAAGTTATGATTATATGCAGCTATATCTGACCTGATATTCAATCTCCAGGGCGGCATCTTTCCTCATAGTCTGGTAGAAACACTCCTTTCGACCGGGGGGGAGAGTGAACGTGAAGTCGCTGTCCAACGACTGAGAGAAGCCAGCCACTGCCACGAACCTGTCCGAGAACAGAGCGACAAACACGGACAGGACACGCAGAGCCACCCCGGACACCTCCATAGTGCCTGAAAGTTTGAATAAGCCTAAATGAAGCTACAGCTGCTTGCCTCGGTGTCTGTACGTGAACGGCTGTGTTCGTCCAAACTTCACTTCTGTATAAATATTCTGACGAGTGTCACAAGTTCAGGACCCCGCCTGTTCAGAAATGTTTACATATATTTGCAACTTCAAACACTGATGGACACACTTACCCAATTTATGCTAATCTAAAGAAGCGAATTATCTACTGCATTTGCAAGTTAGTATGCATTCACATTAAAAGGCAGGCAAACTTTCGACACCAGTGTCGAAATGCACTCTGGGATATGACGTTCCTTTTTTCAGCGCGTGTACCAAAACTGTAGTAACAGTATCATGATCATCAGCATATCCATGATCCATACATGCAAATGGTCTGAAAGGAAACCCAATATACACCAGTTTAAAAAATGAATGAAAATGTATTTTTTTAACGATGGAACCACTGGCTAATAAGAAAGCCATTAGGACTAAAGCCAGGACATCATAACTATCTTTATTTTTAATTTGATACTCTTACTACTTACTTCTTAATTACTAACCCTTTTTTTTGTAAATCAACACCCATTCTTTGTCATTTTTTTACATGATATTGTTGTGTTGTCGAACTATGGTCAAGGAATAAAGAAAGTTTTAAAAAAGAATCCCCCTCCTTAAATTCAAAGTTTTACATTCATGAATGTCAATTTCCCAAAGTAGATCCCCAATTTGTTGCTTTACAGAAATAAACTGGGTTACACTCATAGACTGTAAATATTATATTACACCTTAAAAAAATAAACATTTAGCTAAAAAAAAAAAAAAAAAACAGGGAATTTAGACAGATAGACTCTTTATTGTCATTGTATAAAAGAACACAACGGAACTTTGTTGGCAGCAATTCTGTACAGCAGCGTTTACAAAAACAGTTCACATATACAGTGGTGATTCTAGAGTCTGATGGGGCCCTATAGGCAAAAATAGATTGGGGGCCCCTCCAACCAGTATTCTTAACCATCATGTCTGCCAGTGTCCTGATGCTTACTCCGCTTCCTCTTATTTCCCGCTTCTTCTTTCTTTCCTATACAGACGGATACTTCCTCTTCATTTTTCTTTGTTGACTTTCATTACCGAACGTTGGTTTTCACAGGGCAACGAGAGTGAGTGCTGTAAGATAGTGCCCTGTTAGGGAGGTTTCCTACTGTCGTTGCAAAATGTTCACATTTTGGGCCGTTGCTTTGGTTTGTAAGTCGTCAGGGGCCCCTTACTGGTCTGGGGCCCCAAGTAGTTGCCTGCCTTGCCTGTTGACAAGCAACGCCTCTGCACATACATATGAGTAGATAAATAAACAGTTGTGATGGCTGAATGAATGTACAATTATTTTGTGCAGTGCCTGGGTATAGACATCTATAGGCTATATGTATATATATATATATATACGTATACATATATATGTATAGAGAGGAAGAGATATAATTTAACAGTTATAGTGCAGTGAATGATTATGTACAGTTATTATTGTGCAAAGAATGAATGGATAAATACAACAGATATAATAAAATAAACAGTTATAGAGCAGCGAATTATAAGGTTATTGCACAAGGAAGTAGTGAACAGTTAGCAGCAGTAAAGTCATTATTTTGGTCTCCATATTATTATTTTTTATTATTATTTAAACTATGATAAATAAAACTAAATAAAAACTACACTAAATGTACCTGTTTTGTTATGTTGACCCTTGCAGGTTTAATAATCCTATTTGTTGTATCTATGTCTGTTTTATTATTATTATTATTAATAAGCTACCTTTTTGTACTTGTATTTTCAACCTAAAGGCTTTCATTACACGATTTTTTTTAACTACGTGTACATTTCTACTTTCAAATAAAGTCTAATGCAAAAAAACAAGTTCCCTTTTCGGTCTGTTCTGTCCCATTAAATTATTTTCCATTAAACAATGCAGTTTAGGAAACACATGAAGTAACATAATGTTTCTACATTAACACTCAAGGTTTATAATCGCGTAGTTTAAAAAAAAAAATAATTACTTTCGTAAAAGTCTTTATACCGTGTGTTTTGCGATGAAGTAAAAAAGTACACAATGTTCCTTCAGCCAGTCACCACACACCTCGTTCAGTGAGGGTTCTCTTAGAACTACAAAGGTTCAACGAAAATCAAATAAAATGAAAACCGTTTATGATGTCACATTATTGTGAAATCATGTTATATATTGCATAATTTTGTAATCAGTGTATTGAGAAAAAGGTGACGCGTCTTGCTCCACGGCTACCAGCTCATCCTCAATCGAAGAGGGAGGAGACTTTCTGGCTTACGCTGTTACTACGTGTCCTGTGATTGGTTGAATAATTCACAGGTTGAATTTCATTGGTCGGGAGCAAAGCAGGGGTTGAACATACCGAGCGGCAGCTGCCCGTCAACAGCAGTGGATAAGAAAGCTGAAAAAGAGGCGGACAACCGGTCCGCACAATGAAAACTAGCACACCTCATGTGTAGTTTTTATCCACAGTGGATTTTTTTTTTTTGCCACAGCAGGCCCTCAGCCGACACAGAGCCGGTCTTCGGTGTTTTGTGAAGCCGTGAGAGGTGAGAAACAACCCCACAGAGCGAGGATGTTGGTCCCCGCTGGAAGATAATGAAGAGGCTGCGCGTTTTGTTGGTGTGCCTCATCGCAGCTCTCCTGTCCTGGTAAGCTCAGCGCGACACCTCAATTCGCACCATGAACCACATGTCAGGCAGGAGGACACTAGACACTACGTGTACCGGTCACAGTCCTGTCTATCCTGTCAGTCAGGCCGCTTTTCTCGGTGTCTTTGCCGCAGAGTATCCGTCATTAGTGTGGGGGGATGAATCCTCCCTGCTACACTGCTAACATTACCAACTCATTACCACATAGTAACCACGCCACTAGATAAGATGTTCCGTTAAACTGTCACGTTTAAAGAGGAGCATCAGCACCTTTTAATCCATTTTGACATAACTGGTTACCCAAATGGTTTTAGTGGGTTAGTAGTTTAGCTCGCCAGCTGTTGATTAGCAGCATGGCTAGCTAACCTTCACCAGTGAAGTTGACACAAAACGTTATTGTTCAGTGGACTGCTAACATTAACGAAGACACCCTGAAAAAGACTTCTGATGGATATTAAATTATCTAGTCTACTGACCATCATTTCACTACGAGATATTGTCTTTCAATGAATCAAATGACATGTAAAAAATGCTCTCAATTATGTGTCAATTTTCAAAGTCAAAAAGTCCAACTTAATGTCTTTAAATTGTGTTGTGAGTCTGGGCAACCGATTTGAAGCCAATTTATTCTGTAATGCTAGTATGAAATATAGAGAAGTAAGCATTTCTTTGAATTTGTGGACAAAATGCTGACATTGTTAGCCTTGTACATGAATGTTGTCCAAACTTGGACAAGTTATCTGTGCCTTGGGTTTCTGTTCTTTTTGTTTTGGTATTGGAAATGTATCAATATGTTTTCTTTATTTTTACAGGAATCATATTGAAGTCCATATCCTCATACTACTTTAAAATGAATTTGAATTTCAGTATCTGCAGTGAAACTGTGAAATTCTCTGGATGATAATATAAAATGCTTCTAAAATGTTGTTGTTTATAAAATAATCTATTAAGAAAAAGTAATAAGAAATTAGCTTATTGGGTACATCTAACATTTAGATGACTTAAATTGATTGTTTCAGTATGTATTGCTAATTTGACATGATTTGTGTAAAGAAAAAGGTAAACATAAATGGCTTGGCCATCTGTTTTTTATAAACAGTAACTTATCATTGAGGTATTTTAAGTTGTCTTCTTCCTCTTCCTGTTTGTTCGTGGACAGTGTTTCAGTATTATGAGAAAATAGTGTATGTTGTGTTATTGTGTTGGAAATCATATACTAAAATGAGCAAATAATCCAAATGTGAATAAATGGATGAATATATGGTAAATAATAGACAAAGTTGATGGTGGTCAACCACAACGATATTTAACTGTATTTTATACTCCTACGATTGGGAGCATGTGAGTATTTGTCCTGCAGAATAAGCCTTTGTTAAAGATCCCATATTATACTCCTTGCCACCTTTCATGTTGTCAGTCTGTGAAACCTATAGAGTAGCTTTTTTTTTTTATTACATACTGGCTTCAATAAAAACCCTAATTTCAGCCTATACTTGAGCTGCTGTCTCTTTAAAGCCCCCCTGCCCACATGCCCACCTTCTTGTGATTAGCCAGCTCTCTAGAACACTTGGTGGGCAGAACACTGCAGGGCTGCCAGGGGAGGGCTGCTCTCCAGTGCTGGGAGAAGAGAGCCTATGAAAGAGATTCCAACGTCTTATGTAGAGGCTTGAAATCGTCTTGTGAAATTCTTGGTTTCATATCATACATTGTGTGATTTGCTGAACAAGCTCTTTAGCGCCCTCTACAGACTTGTCCTGGGATTGCACCAACATGCATGATCTCGACCTCATGAGCTGAAACTTTTGCTCAGGTTTAACATGGACATCCAGCATTGTAACACTCAATTGTATGTGAGTTTTGATATCAGCATCATTGAGATATAGTTGGTTAAAAAACTCTTTCATCCTTAGTAATATCCTAACACTGGATAAAAAATGTGACTGTAAAAATTGAAGAAGAGATCAGTCTACCTCTACAGATCTGTTATTACGGTACATCCAGAAATGTAAACAAGTTCTGTTTAAACTGAAGCACAAAGCACACAGGTACTGTCCACAGTGCTGGCATGCAGAGGGGACATCTGACTGATTAACTCAAAGTGAATGTTTTAATCTGTGAGGCACGGAGCGGGTAACAATATGCAGGGTTTGTGAAATGAGATTAACTGGCCAGCTAACATGCCACCATTATCCAGACTGGATACTCAGGCACATCCAGCCCATTGTTTATGTATCCTCCCTCTGTGTGATGATTATTCCCTATCACTTCTTTGAACCTGGTTGTCCGATGTTATTCTTTAGGAGACGAAATAATCATTTTACCCTTTATAACGGTTGGAAAAAATACATCAAACTAGATGTCTTTTTTGAAGATTATTCAAAAAGAAATAACAGTAGTAGTTGAGTATTAGCTACCCGTAAGATAAAATATCTGCAGGAAATTATACCTGTGTTACTAGTATGAAGCCAACAATGCTAAAATAATAATCATATGAATGTAATTCATTCTTGAAGCCTATGTTTATTTAAGTCAAATTTTTTCCTGCTCCTTATTTCCTCATAACATCATAACAGATTTAAATGCTGATGTTTTAAGTATGAGGCTCATGAAACGCCCTCATCTATAAATAATACAGAGCACAGTCTGGTGTAGTTCTCTCATAGTATTCATGTTCAGATAAACTAAAGAGATGAAAACTGGTTTAAAAATGAGTGTATTTAAAAAAAAAAAAAAAAAAAAGGAGCACTAGTTGTACAATAACAGAGTCAGACATGGATGGATGATGTCTATGTCTTTGACCCTTGCACCTTTGTTTTTCTGAGGAATGATCACATTTTCATAGATTAGATTATTTCTTAGGAGCCCAGGTATTCCACAGATAAGATTCAGCGTTCCTTTCTGTCCTTTATAGCAGGCAAAGAAAAAGAACAGGGTGCTGCTCTCTCCCTCCTGCAGGCCGGGGTTACTGACAGAGGTGTTGACATGTTCCTGGTTAGTGATTTACATTCAGAGAAGGACTAGGGGAGTATCAAATGATACTTAAATGCATGAATAGTAAAAAAAAAACCTTCCCTGGTTACAACTTGTCATGATCAGGTGTTGTTACTTTATTAAAATACCTGGCGCACATTTTCACTTTCCCACAACCTAACTAATGGCCGTGCAACAACATGCACAGACTTCATTACTAATGCAAATGATTTTTAGCGTGCTCCTATCGGCCTCTCACTCCTCCATGCCAACTCTCACACGTCCCAATGAGAGCGGAGAAACGGGGAATGCAGTCCTTGCAGTAATCTAAGGGTATCCTAGGCAGCAGAAAGGGGCTCTGTATGAGGAAGCCGCTGGTAACCGACCACTTTGTGGGGTTTTAATAACCATGTGCTGCCTGCAGGCCTGATGTTTAGATTTCCGGTCCAGACTTAATGTTTTTATGTATTAAGTTTGGGTCCTCTGTATTTTACTGTGAGACTGCTGGAGCTCACACACAGCAGAGTGTATTCTGTGTGTGTGTGTGTTTGTTGTGCAACAGGGATCTTACTGTTTGGCATGCCAGCTCAGCTCACGGCTTGTTGTTTTCTTCTCAGGAGAAAGTGTGCACGTGTGAGTGAGCATGCACATTTCACTGTAATGACAGTTCACCTCACACATACACTTTCTCCACATTTTCATCCATTTTAGTGTCGAGACATCGACTGAGAGTGTTTTTTACGGTTCTCGTTGCAGAGTTCACTGAACTTTTTCTCAAATATCAAAAATATGCCATCCTTTACTAACTTAATATTGAGTCAACTACCTGAGAGGCAGAACAAATAATTGAAATGTGCAGCACTATTTATATTTGAACAGGAGAGAAATATCTGCACATCATCTGACTCTGTCCCAGTATCACAGGCGCATTACAGGATGCTCACAGCGATCGAAAGATTATTATTATGTAACATGATAACGCTCTGCAGCCAACTGACCAGCTCAATCTTCTATCATATTTCAAATTAGACACAAAGGCTCTGGTTAATGAGTAATCAATTAGTTGATTGGACTATCAAACATCAGCAAATTTTAATTAATGTTTCCCAAAGCCCAAGATGACGTCCCAAAATGTTTTTGTTTTGTCCACAACCTAAAGATATTTTTTAGACTTCTGTAGAGGATGAAAGAAACCAGAAAATATCCACGTTTGAGGAGTTGAAATCAGAAGTTTTCTTGTGCAGTTGTTGGAGATTTTTTGTGGATAACTGTGTTTAAATATTTCTGAAATTAAAACCTTATCAGCTGGATTTTATGTTATTAATGATGCCATTATGTTACAGTGCATGAAGAGTTATATTGGATGAAAATGCATATGGTGAAAGTGGCTACAGGAGACCTACATGGTTTACATGGTTTACATTGAGGCTCTGTATATCTACTGTATGTAAAACCATCAGAACACACCCATCATTAAAATGAGAACATCTCAAAAACTAGAAAAATGTACACAGTTCAAATGTAGGGTTAGTATTCTGTTCATGTCTCTACATTTCAACATGATTTCGATCGCTTTATTGTGGTTATAAAGTAAACTTGATTTCAAAGTTTTTGAAAAAGAACAGCTTCGGTTTTTGACTCATTTAATTGTAGGAAGTTATCGGCCATCCAGTGTTTTATGTCTTCAGAGACATAAGAGAGGCGAGTTCTGCGAGATTGTTTAGTATGACCGGTAGATAAAGCTGAGTGTCATCTGCGGAGAAGTGATATGAGAGGTTGTGCTTCTGGATAATTTGACCCAATGGGAGCATGTATAGTGAAAATAGTAGAGGGCCTAGGATGGATCCCTGTGGTATCCCACAGCTCAGACCAGATTGGGAGGATGTGGCGTTGGTTAAGTTTACAGAGAAGGTTCTGTTGTTCAGGTATGATGTAAACCAAGTCAGGGCTGTGCCCCCAACACCAATCTAATGCTGCAGGCGATTAATTAAAATTGTGTGGTCGACAGTGTTGAATGCTGCAGTAAGGTC